AATTTTAAATTTATTTTGAAATATATTATATTTAAAATAGAAGAGTATATATAATCATTTAAAGATATAAAAATGACTTTATATATATATATATATATATATATATATATATAATATTAGGACTTTAGAAGGAAGAAGGAAACACTATAAGCTATCTAGGACCTTAGGAGGAAACACCATAAATTGGTAAATTATAAAAGGAAAACCTATGGTTTATATTTGACATATTAGGACCCAAATCTTGGCATATTTTTTCATAATTTAATATTAAATTTATTTGTTATAAACTTTTAAATAACTTATAGTGTTTCTTCCTAAGGTCCTAAATTAGGAGGTGCACCTAAGGATTAACAGAATCCTATAAATAAATTTAATTGTACTAAGGGATGTTATGAATTTAGAAGTTCCATGTGTTTGGTTGTTTGTACCTGTGAGGAACATAACCAAACCTTAAGTTTAGCTTAGGTTTAAGAGAGAGTTTGGGAATTTATGAAGAAATAGTTAACACCCCATTATTTATGTAATGCATAGTTAAACCCCAGGAAAAAAAAAGAGTTAGTACATTAAGTAAGAACCTTAGCAATATAATTACCTAATGCCAAAGTAAAAGAGGTTAGATTAGCTTGACAGCCTGGTATGGATACCCATTTCCATCCCAAAGGAAAGGCCTAAACCTTTAGGAATGGATGCGGTATACCATAGTTTATTTCCCTTTTGGGAATGGGAATTATTCTTTAAGAACTTTCTTAAAAAGCCTGTTGGCTACTTAAGGTTACTAATCCCTACTCCCAACCCTAAAGTTTTTTGGAAGCACCACTAAAAAGTTTTTTCAAAACTATATTCTTAGCCTCACTATCCTTCATATACTTTTAAAACCCTCTGTAAATTGAATTTAAAATTGAAATTACAAACTATGAATTACATAATAAATGTCACTTATATAACCATAATAGATATATTTATGCACAGAGTTGTTTTTTACTAATAAACTTTACTAATATAAGAAGAAATATAAGTTATACAATTTTTTAATGAGAACAGTTTTTTTTAACAATATAAGTTCCACTATTAAATCTAATAAACATACTAAAATATAGATATGACCTTCAATCCACTTAAATTATTTGTGATTTTAATTAGTATACTTTTGTTAAGTTTAGTTTTAATATAAAAATATATTTATGTGATTATAATAAAATCATTGAAATAATATTTAATCTTACTTAACATGAACCACTTAAATTTTCTAACCACAAATGGAAAAAGGGTTATTTGGTGTTTATTAGGTGGTTATCTAAATAGGTTCATTGCACTTTCTTCTTTGGTTCATAGCATTTCTAGATTCTCACTGACTTTCTCTCTTTGAAGCATGTCAAGCTTGAGCTGGAATCAATATCCAAAGGCTGTGACATCCGAATTGCAGCGCGTAATGCACTCTAATCCTTCTCCGATGAAAGCAGTTCCCTTTTCCGTTGCCTTGGAAGCTCTCTGATAGTTTGGTTTATGTAGTGTATATACACCTGGATCAAGAAGCTTGTACGTGATACATGGCAGCTTATTTCTCGCTTGGAACCACATGTTCGGAGCCAACAATCTGACACGGCGCGCATGCCAAGCACCAGGTTCGCTCGCGAGTTTTCTCTTTATGACACTAACAGATGCGTTGAACACACATTTGCAGCAGGCTTTCTTGTCGCCTTAGATTTGCCCAGCCAATCTAATCGGCCAGCCGCTTCTCGCTCAAAAGCCTTTGTTATGCCTGACCACAAGGAGAGAGTGGAAGACAGCGCTTGCATGTGACAATTATTAACAACGGAGTTCGTGGGCCGCAATGCATTGCAAAGGTAACCAAGACATCTTTTTTTTTTCCTTTGATTTTTGAGATGTTTCATTTGGAGAGCAGCTTTGATGTTTTTGCTTGCTGTTTTCTTCGCGCAGGCACAAGTCCAACAAGGGCCAAGCCAGGCCAGGCCAGCCAGACTCATGGCGCTGCTGGCTGTCCCTTGTGCGAAAGAGAGTGCCGCTTCGGATATCTATCTCTGCGCTAATCCGGCAGTCTTTTGCGTGTGTCTTGCCAGCTAGGTGGGAGAGGCCGTCCCTCTTCCTCGCTCCGTGCCTGCCTGCCTGCCTCGCTCGAGTCCAACTCTATCCCATTGTCCGGTGCGTCGCTATACGTACAATAATCTCTCCAAAGCAGCAGCAGCAGCAGCGCACAGCAGTGACAGTCTCGCAGGCTCGAGAGGAGAAAAGAGACCGTGAGGAATTTCTTTCACTTCTTCCTCCTGATTTTATTTCTTTTCCTCCTTTCACTCTGTGAGCGCAGGCACCATACATTTACGCTGCTGAAGCAGAGAGGCACTCAGGACTTACTCATTATGCTACGCCTCCTCCTCCACCTCTCTCGGAGAGATTTAGTGGGAGCGAGAGCGACAGAGAGAGAGCGGTTTCATTCATTCCAGCTACTTAAGTCTGTCATTTACTTTGTGGAAATTCCTCTCGTCGTAGCTGGTCTGCTTCTGGTCTGGTCTCGTCCTGATGGTTTTCCAAGTTTGCTCTTGAATTTTCATCGCTGCATGCTGTCTGCTGCTTCGTTTTCGCTGGCTGGAAAGACGCTTGACAACAAGATCTCATTAACTTCTAACGCCCACAGCTTTTGCAAGCAGGCGAAGCGACGATGACCACCACCGAGAGAGCGCCGAGAGTAAAAACTTTGCGCCGAGGCGTGTGAGTCGAACAACCTGTCGCCAGTACAGCAAAGGACATCTCCTTCCGTATGCCTCTGTGGTGGTATATATGTTTTTAAAGTCGTTGTTCTTTTAGCTCGGCTCTGGCTCTGGCTAGCGTTGTTTGTTGTTTGTATGCGTCAATTTGCTTGCTTCCTCTCTTGCTCGCTTGCTTCCCTCTGGTAGAGCTCTGGAGATCTTCCATGTCTTACAAGATCCTTCTCTCGTCTTTCCAGAGCAAGGCCGGGAAGAAGAGCTAGCTAGGCCCAACAGGGACGAGGCAGCGAGCGACGAGTAACCATGGACAGGACGAGAGCGCTCCTCCTGGTGATGGCATTCTCGCTGGTGGTGCTCACTCTTTCACTGCTAGCAGGAGGAGCGGGAGCTACCAAGCTCGAGCTCATCCACGTCCTCTACTCGCAGCAATCGCCACTCTACAACGACACGCTCAGCGACGCCCAGAGGCTCCAGCTGCTCATCGGCATGGACAGCGCCAGGCAGCATTACCTCCTGGATCGACGAAGACGAGGAGTAGCAGCAGGAGCTTCTTCCACCTCCGGCTCCTCCAAGCTCGCCACCACCACCTCCTTCTGGGCCGAGAGCCCGATGGAGTCGGGCGCGTTCCTGGGCCTCGGCCAGTACCTGGTGAGCATGGCGTTTGGAACGCCGCCACAGGAGGTCCTCCTCATCGCCGACACAGGCAGCGATCTCATCTGGCTCCAGTGCTCCACCACCGCGGCGCCGCCGGCCTTCTGCCCGAAGAAGGCCTGCTCGAGGAGGCCAGCGTTCGTAGCGAGCAAGTCGGCCACGCTGTCCGTGGTGCCGTGCAGCGCGGCACAGTGCCTGCTCGTGCCGGCACCGCGCGGACACGGCCCGGCGTGCAGCCCGGCGGCGCCGGTACCGTGCGGCTACGCCTACGACTACGCCGACGGCTCCTCCACCACCGGCTTCCTCGCCCGCGACACCGCCACCATCAGCAACGGCACCTCGGGCGGCGCGGCGGTGCGCGGCGTCGCGTTTGGCTGTGGCACGCGCAACCAGGGCGGCAGCTTCTCGGGCACCGGCGGCGTGATCGGGCTGGGCCAGGGGCAGCTCTCCTTCCCCGCCCAGTCGGGATCGCTCTTCGCGCAGACGTTCTCCTACTGCCTGCTCGATCTCGAGGGCGGGCGTCGGGGGCGGAGCTCCAGCTTCCTCTTCCTGGGCCGGCCCGAGAGGCGCGCGGCATTCGCCTACACGCCACTGGTGAGCAATCCACTGGCGCCCACCTTCTACTACGTGGGCGTGGTGGCGATCCGGGTGGGCAACCGCGTGCTGCCGGTGCCGGGCAGCGAGTGGGCGATCGACGTGCTGGGCAATGGCGGTACCGTCATCGACTCGGGCTCCACGCTCACGTATCTCCGGCTGGGCGCGTACCTCCACCTGGTCAGTGCCTTCGCCGCCAGCGTCCATCTCCCGCGGATTCCATCCTCGGCCACCTTCTTCCAAGGCCTGGAACTATGCTATAACGTTTCTTCCTCGTCTTCCTCAGCCCCCGCCAATGGGGGGTTTCCACGTCTCACCATTGACTTTGCGCAGGGGCTGAGTCTCGAACTCCCGACTGGTAACTACTTAGTGGATGTGGCCGACGATGTCAAGTGCCTGGCCATCCGGCCCACGCTCTCGCCCTTCGCGTTTAATGTGCTGGGGAATCTCATGCAGCAGGGCTACCACGTCGAGTTTGATCGCGCGAGCGCGCGCATTGGATTCGCGCGCACAGAATGCGTCGCTCATTGATGGATTGGGCTTTCTTTCCCGTTTTCTATCGAGCAAAAGCGAGGTTTGAGCGAGCGGAATTGGAACTGGTGAGTGCTTGGATTGGATGGAGAAGCCAGAGGACCCAATTGGGAAGAACAAGATCGATCGATCGAGCGATCGACTGGAAAGCTCTTCCTCTTTCTTTCTCCAAGCTTTTGTTATTCTTCTTTCTTTCTCTCCTTTTTTCTTCCATACCATCGTTGCCTGGTGGTGTGGTGGTGATGTCAAATTCCTTGCTCTCTTTCTTGTTTTCGAGCAATCAATGTCTGTATAGCTAGATAGATAGAGCGAGCGTTGAGAGACAAAAAGGTGGTGTACTTTGGCATGGATATTTTTTTGTGGAAGATTTACAGATTTGGACAAGATGATGATGAAACCGCGTCCCGGAACCACCGCGATGAATGCTCCTCTCCTCCATCCGTGACTCGCATTTACTCGCAAAGAGTCAGGGTCAGCGCAGCGATGCGTCACTCGCTCACTCGCTCACAAGCTCGTGGAGTAAATGTTTGAGATCAAAACCGCTGCGGCGGCTGCTCCTCCTGATGATCCTGGTCCCCGTCCGGATGATCCTCCAGGTGATGGCGACATCAATGATCCACCACCTGTGGCAGCTCTCAGCCCCTGCTCCAGATTCCCGTGAGTGTGACAAGCTGCCACCAACGTCGCGCTCGCCACCGATCCCGGCTGGAAAGGCATGCTGCTCATCAGCTCCGCGGCGAGCTCCACATGACCGGCTCGCCCCAGAAGATCGATCGCGCACTGGTAGTGCTCCAAGTTCCTGGAAAAGTGGTAGTCAGATTCCACTCCAGCGAACAGGCTATGGCCGTCTTCCACGAGCCCCGCGCGGCTACACGCCGAAAGCGCGCTCAGCATCGTGATCTCGTTGAGCTTCACCCCCTCGACGAGCATCTCCCGGAAGAGCTCCAGCGCCTCACGGCTATGCCCGTTCTGGGCATTCGCGGCGATAATCGCAGTCCACGAGACGACGCTCTTCCTGGCGATCTTGGCGAAGGCCGACCGCGCCTCCTCCAGGCTCCCGGCATTCCCGTACATGTCCACCAGCGCGGTGCCAACCGAGACATCGTGATCCATCCCGGTCCCGGCCAGGCTAGCGTGGATCGTCCTCCCAAACGGCGCTGCCGACGCGTCGCTGGCGCAGGCGTGGAAGATCGCCAAGAGCGTCACGTTGCATGGCTTGGCACCGTCGAGGTTCATGTGTTGGAACACGCGGAGGGCCTCGCGGGCATGGCCGTTTTGAGCGTAGGCCGTGAGGATCACCGTCCATGCAACCACGTCCTTGCGGGTGATCCCATCGAAGCAACGCTGGGCGTTCTCTACGCTGCCGTGTCTTCCATAGGCGGCGACGAGCGCGCTCGCAACGATGGCGTCCGAGTCGAGGCCCGGGGCGGCGAGGCTCGAGTGGAGGGAGAGCGTGGCGTCTACATCTTGGCAAGCGCCAATGGCCACCACCAGAGTTATGATGTTCGCCCGCTGGCCCTCGAGATCCATGGCGGAGAAGAGCTGCAAGGCGGATCTCCCATCGCCGCTGCGAGCGTAGCCTGTGATCATCGCGTTCCAGGACGAGACGCTCCGATCGGGCATTTGGGCGAGCAAGCTTCTCGCCATGTACAGATGCCCGGCCTCGGCAAATGCGGTGATTAGCGTGTTCCAGGAGATGGAATCTCTTTCGGGCATTGCATGAAACACCGCCGTTGCGCGATCGAGATTCCCGACCCCTAGATGCGCTGCAAGCATTGTATTCCACGAGATAACATTCTTTTCCGGCATCTCATCAAACAACACTTGAGCCTCTTCCAGATGCCCGTTCTGGGCATATGCTGAGATCATGATATTCCAGGAGTGTGGATTTCTCGCCGTGATGGCCTCGAACGCAGCGTGCGCTCCAGATATGCTGCCGCACTTGCCATACATCTCCACGAGGTGATTGCCGATGAAAGCCTCTCCGTCGCGGCCGGCCCTGGAAATCTGTGCGTGGACTCGCCTGCCCATCCACAGCGCGTCGTTTTGAATGCATCGGGCGAGGAGAGCGACGATTGTGGCCTTGTCTGCGGCGATCTCGCGCCTCTCGAGCCGCGGAACCGATCGCTCCAGCGGCTCATCGCAGCGATCGTATCGAGGAAGCTGCCGCCGCATATGTTCATGACGCTAAAGGGAGGAACCCTAAAACGTTGGGTTCGACGTAAAGGTGAGGGCTAGGTTTTCGATTGCGTTCGTCGGGCGAGCTACGTGATTCCCTGGAGCAGCGCTGCAAGACAACGATCGCTATATCGCATTGAAAGGTAGGAGAGGATGAAGAAGAGGCCCAAGGAGCTCCAGATCGGGGCGACGGTGGCTGTCAAGGTAAAACTAGGTCCCAAGAAGAAGAAGATGACGAAGAACAAGCACAAGGAGGGATCGGCGTCGGGCTCTCAGCTTCACGCTGTGGTTACAAAGGCGGCAAAGAAGGAAAAGAGGATGACGAGCACGAATGCGAAAAAGAGTGCCATTCCAAACGCCGCCGACGCTGCTCAAGATCCTGCGATGACGAAGCACGCTCCAGCTTCTCTAGCTACGGCTAAACCATCTTCTCCCATTGCCGGAAGAGTGAAGAACTCTCGCAAGAGAAAGTTGCCGGAGTCATTCCTGGCAATGAACAGTCCCAACACCAAGCGCCTGGACGCGTTCCTGGCGTTCGTCCGCGACAACAAAGACACCCCCCAGCACTTCCCTCCGGCGGGCGTCCCCCATGCGCACGTCAACGAAGCTCTTACACCACCAGGAGAAGAAACGATCCACCCTCCTCCGGATGATCAGCAAGCAAGGCCGGTTTTCACGATTTGCACGCATGAGCACGGCAAGGAAGACATCGAGGCGACCTGGCCGTGGAACGTCTTCACGGACGGGTCGCTCATCGTCCCCGAGGGAGGCGAGGCAGTGAAAGCCGGCTATGGAGTCTACTACGTCTGGTGCAACGGCGGCTGCGGCCTGGCCAAGCACGTCCAAGGCAACAGCAGGATCTCGTACGATGCATGGGCGATGGACGGGAGTCGCAAGATAAGGATCATCGAGCTCGCGCTGGGTGGCGACGAGAGCGCGCTCACCATGGAGCTCCTGGCCATCCTCGAGGCGCTGCTGCTTGTGCAGAGCTTCTGGGGCTACTCGCGCCTCTACCTCTACACGGATAGCATGGCGGCGCTCAAGCTCCTGGCCGAGTTCCAGAAGCGACCGGGGAGCTTCGCCAGGCACGTCCATGGCGAGGTGCTGGCCGCCATCACCAGCGTCGCTCGCAGCAGCTACATTGAGCACGTACACTTGCTCAAGGTGCGAGCGCACGCTGGGCTATTTGGGAACGAGGCCGCCGACCGGCTGGCCAAGATTGGTGCCAACTTGCCGGTTGGCTCCTCGTGTAAGTTTAACCTCAGCAACGTTGCCCAGCCGGGAGCTCTGGCTATGGATCCCGGTCTGGTTTGCACAGCAGATGGTGGTGCTGCTAGTACTCTTCTTGCTCCTCCTCCTCCACCACCACCTCGGCCACCTCGGCCTCCCCTGCTTCCTCCCCTTCTTCCCTTTCCCCTTCCTCCTCCACATCCCCTCTTGTTTACTCCTTCCCTCCCTCCTCTTCTTCCTCTTCCAGAGCAGCAGCCACCCCTTGTCCCACATCTTGCTTCTTGGCAGCAAGTAAGGTGAAACTAAGTGTTTGTATCAATCGGAATAGAATACAAATTAAATCAAATATGCTAAGCAATCTATTTAATGAGTTTATGCTGGGCAGCATTTGATTTTTGGCTTTGATGCAACAAAAATGTGGATTCCTATAGGTTTTCCAAGAACTATATCTCCTTTTACAAAGTTTCTTAATTATTAATCACGCTTCAAATTGCTGGAGAAGAGTTGTGACCAAGAATAGAGAGAAGAATGAAGATGACGAACAAGAAGGACCAGTAAAGAAAACAATAAACAGTTTACAACCTTGCATGCATATACATGGCATTCCTTGTCTAGCAAGAATCACTAGACGAAATGTAAGCTTCTAGTGGCATAGTTGGCTCAAAACGTGGTGGTTCTTCAAGGTACATCACCCCCTGCCGCATTTTCAAGTTTGGCGCTACCCAGTCCACACCATGGTAGCGGGCAGTCAACCAGCTCCACTCAAGGTTCCCGGACATCATGTAGCCAAGGCCGTCAATGTAGCCCTCCACAGCGGTGGAGAAGTAGCTCGACCTGGTTATCAAGTCGTGCAGCTCCACGAACCTCCGGTTGCAGTCCTCCATCAGCTCGAGAGTTTGGTCCGCCGCCTCTTGCAATCCGACGCCCTGGGACATGCAAATCGAGGAGAGGAGGTTGGAGAAGTCCCCGGAGAGATACTCCACACGGAAGGAGAGGATGTCGTTGACGCAGATGAGGTGGTCGATGGCGGTCGTCGCAATGTCCCGGATGGCCGGCTGCTCGAGCACTTCCTCGTCGAGCTCCACCCCCAGTCCATACTCCATGAGCAAAACCAGCGTCGCCCCCGAGCTAAACATGCGCTTCCCGGCCACAAACTCGCTGGCCGTGAGGACGGCGCCCTCTTGGCGGAGCCGGGACTGCGAAGCCGACTGCTGGAACAGGCCCAACACGTGGCGCACCAGGCGCGAGTACTGCCGCGGCGGCATGTCCTCGCGGAAGTGTTGCCACAGCGAGGCGAAGCACGAGAGGAGCGAGCCTCCCACCGGCGCCATCGCCCCTTTAGCTCCATGGATGGTTTCAAGGTACTTACCCACGAACGCCGACGCGTCTCGGGCATTCGCGCCCAGGGACTTGACGTCGTCGACGAGCGAATCGAACAGTGTGAACCAGCATACGAACTTGATCAGCCATGGGATCCTTGAGTTGAGCGCTGTGGGGAAGAGCATGCACGAGAGAAAGGGCAGCTTCTGAGCTATAAAGGACCTCATCTCCTCGTCCGAGGACTCTGGCGAAGCGAAGTCTACACACCAGCGGTCCATTTCCATCTGGAGCTTGTCACACAATGGATGGACTCGCAATGCAGGCTTGCATTTCATTGGGGAGATGTGGAAGCTGCTGAAGCTCCTCATGGGGGCAGCTGTTATATACTTCAAAGCACCATATGCCGCTTAAACGAGACCAGCTTCTTTATACTCAAGGTGCCGTGCCGTGTTTTTGGAGGTGGTTGTTCATGGCTGACAAGAACACACTAGATGTTTTTGTTGTTCATCGACGACCACCACAAGTTTAGAAAGTGTGGTTGTTCATGGCTGACAAGAACACAATAGCTGTTTTAGTTGTTCATTGACGACCATCACAAGTATAAAAAGTGTGGTTGTACATGGCTGACAAGAACACAATACATGTTTTTGTTGTTCATCGACGACCACGACAAATTTTAGAAAGTTTCGTCTTGAACGAGTGAACTTAGTGCTACTAGCGTTTTGGAACATGGATCTTGTGCTGATAATTCTGGGTTTTCTGCTACTGCAATTGGTTATGTCAATGGTCTTGTGCAAGTTTGTACTGCGCAATTGGAACTTTCATTCTCACACAAATTTGGTCTCAAAGTGAGCTACACATCGGGAGCATATATCAAGTTTAGGAGCTTATGATAGGAGCATATAAGAAGACACAACCGAAATTGCATTCTTGCATCCGAGCCTATCAAAACAGCATAAAGATAGAACAATATACTAGATCACACAAAATGGTGGTCAGAAAAGGTCAATCCGGTCATGCACTTTCTCCCCTTCACAAAGATACCACCCGCATTTTGATTTTAGGTATTGGAGGAGGAGGAGGAAGAAGAAGAAGAATGGCGCACGATTACACAGGTCAGTTCCTTCCCTCCCTCCTTGTTCTTACTTCCTGATTGGACAGAGCAAGACAAGGATCATCTCCTCAACATTCCCAGCACCAAGTCGTACCCAAAGCTGAGCGTGCGTCGTCTCTCTCGGCGCGCCGACACGGGCGACACCATCCTCTCCAATCTCTCCTTCGACGTCTTCCCCGGCGCCGTGGTGGGCATCATCGGCCCCAGCGGCAGCGGCAAATCCACGCTCCTGCGGGCGCTCAACCGCCTCTGGGAACCCCCCGCGCAGACCATCTTCCTCGACGGCCAGGACGTGACCAAGCTCGACGTGATCGCCCTCCGCCGGCGCGTGGGAATGCTCTTCCAGACTCCGTGCCTCTTCGAAGGTAATGCGGTCGTGCTCTTGGAGTTCTTTCCTTCTTCTCTTGGAAGTTGCCACCTAGATTTGTTTCTCTCCGGCCACTCACTTGTTCCATCAGCTGTGATCCAGGGACTGTGAGCTACAACGTTCGCTATGGACCCAAGCTCCGAGGCAAAACTCTGGAAGATGGCGAGGTGCTTGCTCTACTCCAGCAAGCCGATCTGGATTCCTCGTTTGCTGACAAGCCCGTCCACGGCCTCTCGGTCGGCCAGTCCCAGCGAGTAGCGCTCGCGAGAACTCTAGCGAATCGTCCAGAGGTAAGGAGTCGTGATGCTCTTGGCGAAGAGGTCCTTCCTAATGCGGTGTTGATCGTTATAGGTGCTGTTGCTGGACGAGCCAACGAGTAGCTTGGATCCGGTGTCCACCCAGAATATAGAAGCCTCGCTGCTGAAGCTGTGCAAGGACAAAGGCCTCACGCTAGTGCTCGTCTCTCACAGCATCAACCAGGTCCAGAGGATGGCCGACGTTGTCTTTTTGCTCGTGAATGGACAGATTGTGGAGATTGTCACGCCTGGAGAGCTAGAGAACGCGAGCCACCCTCTTGCTAGGCAGTTCTTGGACGCGTCCTGAATCATCCTCCACCATTCCCAGTTTTTTAGAGAAAAAACTTGCATCAGCACCAGCAGTGCTTTTCTTTATGATTTATATGAAGAAACTTTAATTCTTCTGGGAGAGGCTTCTCTCGATTTTGTCCTTGAGGTGGCTGCCAGAGCTCGGCCCCGGTGGAACTCCTCCCGGAAAGTTGATACTTTGCGACGGCTTCTTCGTGAAACCACTAGCCACAAGACAAAAGCAAGTGAAATCTCAAGGAAACGTGGTTCCACTTACTTCTTGTCTGTCAGGATCACTGTTCTTAGAGCGCAGTTTGCGAATCTAAAGTCAAGTTTGTACGTTAGTCAAAAAGCAATATAAAGTTGAGCTCATACCGAGATCGGATTTCTTGCTGGACAGTATCTCCACAGTCGTCGCCAAACAAGGTGACCATGTGTGTCAAGAAGCCGCTGTGAGAGACAACAGCGATCTCTTTCTCGTCACGCCGGAGGAGCCTGTGCAACAAAGAAGAACAAGTTCCGTTCTGCAGGTAGAGATCTATAGCTTTTCTCGCATCACTTACCACTTTAAAAATTCTAGACCGCGCTGGCAGAGGTCCTCGTCAGGCTCTCTGATATCAGCATTCCACCACTCGTCTTCGTCAGTCTCGATCTACAAAGCAAATCAAAGATGATCGCGAAGCAGGAGAGACAAATCAGACCTCGGAAAAATCTACTCCTGGAAACTCGAGTTTGTACCGGCTGATGGGATTCCTTTTGTCGCAGGGATGCACTCCCTGCTCGAGGAAAAGAAAAGAAATTATGCAAAAGGAGGAGCGCGAAAGAATAGCTTAACTGTGTGCTCTCGACAAAGTTCCAGTGCAAGGAACGGAGGACACCGTGCACTCGATACTGCTGGATGAGGAGACTTCCCCACTCCATTCACCATCAACGGTGGTGCAATCTCGCCATCAACGAACTCACCACCTCCAAAAACTCCCACAGCAGTTTGCAAAGTTCTGTCGGCAAAATCGAAAGCTTGAAAGAAGGGCACGGCTGTCCTGGTCTTACCGAGTAAGAGGAGATACCACTACCAATTCAATGCCATTTCCGAGACCAGTATCAACGACATGCTTCCTGAGTCGTGCAACCTTTCAAACAGCACGCAACAAGAAGAAGAAAAAAACTTGCTTGCCGAGACGAAGAGAAAGATCTACCTGGTTCCAGCCATTGGGTGTGAGGCTGGCATCCAGCAGAGCGTAGTCATTGTAGGAGGCGATGTCGACCTCTCCAGCAACGTTATGGTATCCTTGGGCATGTCTCACCTTGTAGTTGTAGCACACACAAAGCTCAAACGCAAGCCGAGGAAGAGATGGGAGCTTACCAAATGGATGATCTTGCAGTGCTGGAGAGGGAGGAGCGTCGGCCCTTGCTCCATTCTCCTCCTAAGAGCCCTACCCAGACTATGTAACACTGAAGCATAGGACAAATTATGGACAAATCTTTGTGGCTTGATTATAGTAGTACTCTCGACAGAGTGAGAAAAAATATAAAAGAGAGAAATGTGGATGGAGCTCAGAGAGATCCATTTTCAACTGCATCCTCTAGCTCCTTGCCAGTATCTTCGATCACATCCGCCAAATCACTGCCAGCACTGGGTCCTTCTGGAACACCTCCAGGGAAGTCACTAGACGCCGAAATCTTGCTCGTAGCTCTACACAACCGAGGAAAACTTGAGAACATAGAAACAAAAGTAGAAGAATACTCGCCTTCTATCCGCGAGCACGACCGTCCGGAGCTCACAATTGGTGTAACTAGACATCGAGTGCAAAGGATTCAGTCAGAGAAAACACGAAAAGTTCAAAGCTTACGGCGAGCGAATCTCTTGCTGGACGAGTGGAGAGCAATCTTCGCCGAACAACTCGAGGAGGTGGATCAGATAGCTGCTGTGCGAGACGACGGCTATTCTCTTCTCGTCGCGATTTAGTATCCTGAAAGAAATCGCGAGTGAGAGAACTTCCGGAGGCGCAACAGAATTACCACTCTATGAATTTCCTGCCGCGAGCATGGAGCTCCTCGGAAGTCTCTCTGGAGCTACACTTCCACCACGTATCCTCGTCGGTTTCTATCTGGAGAACAAAACAAGGTTTGGATCCCCTTCTTGTCAACAAAGCTACTTCTTACCTCCGAGAAATCAATTGCGGGGAACAGATTCTTATAGTCCCGGATAGGACTACGCTTGTCACAAGGATGAATGCCCTGGACAAAGAAAGAGAAAAGATTGTGTGAGAAAAAACCAAAGGAACTTTACGGTGGAATGCATTACCATATGCTCCCTACACCACTCGACTGCTACGAACTTTGGACAGCCCGAGCTGGAAATCGCCGCGTGTTGAGCCTTCCCGACTCCCTCGGCCATCAGAGGTGGATTCTCTTCTTTCACACCGTCTTTCACATCGCTCCCACCGAAAACTCCCACTGCTGTCTGCATGGTTCTGAAAATCAATACCCACGCCGGAGTTGTACAAGACCACCTTATATTACGCCAGGGAACCAAAGGAAAAAATCCACTCACCGAGTCAACGGAGAGACAACCACCAATCCAAGAGCCTCCTTGATCCCAGAAGTCATGACATGCTTTCGAAGCCTCGCAACCTTTGCAAAAGAGAGAAGAAAAAGAAGGATCTTGGAAAAGCTATGGCACAAGAACTTTACTTGATCCCAGCCCATTGGAGTGAGACTCGCATCGAGAAACTCGTAGGATTCGTACGCACGATGGTCCGCCTCACCGGCAACGTTGTGAAATCCCTGCGCATGTCTCACCTGCAAGAAAGAAATCCAAAACCTTCGCGATGCTCTGGATGGAAGATGTGAGCTTACCAGGTGGATGATCTTGCAGCGGTGGAGGGGATACAAGGACGGAGCCGGCTCCATGGATCCAGGCGAGGCGGCTGCCACCAAGGAAGAAGGATTCACGCCCGGCAGCTCAGTCAAGCAAGCGCATGTACCTTTCCTCTTCTTGCCTCTCGAGCTAGCGCCGTGCCTGCGCCTGCGGCAAAAGATCACTGGCGCGGAAGACTTGGAGAAATGCGAGGGATGGAATGAGCTACTGCCACTGCTAGAGATTGGGAAACCAGGCAGCGATGAGACAATGCGCGGTCCAGGCATAGATTGCAAGCACTCACGCTTCACATGGAACTCGCCCTCTCTCCTCTCAAATCAGCGCTCCTCCTTCCTCCTCGATGCGAACATTGCTAAACCTTTTGGCCACGTGTACCCTAACAAGCATCACGCCGGGAATATCCTCGGACCGGAATATACTCTCTTATTGGTGTAAGTACACGCAAAGCGCCCCGATACCCGCGGTGGCTGCAATCGCGAATATTGCAGCTAGAAGGTCGGGCACCGATCCTATAGACAAACAAGATCACGTATTTCAGACAACTGCAATTCAAAGAATTCAAGCAATGTGAAACCAACCTTTGTCATTAGGAGTGATTCTTACAGTGTGGTCTTCGCTAGCCGAGAGCAAAAATCTAGGAACAAGAACAAAGATCAGAGTGAGTTTATATCTCAAACAGTCGTAGCTACCTATCGTCACTCGAGACCTGTACGGAAGACACGAGCTTCTTATGGCGTCTGTATTGCCAGAAACCTTGCAAGTCTTCTGTTAGAAGCGTCACTGCTCCTGAAGGCCTTCCACTGCGCAAGCATTGCTGTAAGTAGCCATGGAATTTAAAGGGTGACGGAAAGCTTACACTGCCAAGCATCCGTTTTGCATCTCAGCAATGGCCGAATTGCCACCCCAAGTTCTGGCCCCTCGGACACGCTTAGACGTTACGGTGTTCCAGGTGATGATTTGACCTGGAAGTTAGATCATTGACATGAAAAGAGACGGATGGAAAGAGAAAAAAACTTGCCTTGGGCTACCAAATGGAGAAGGTTTGTATCGCCTGGAGAGAAGCGGCCAAACGTTGCTCCAGGAAGAGGAATCGTGCTTATTTGGGACCTCTTTGTGAGATCCCATAGCTCGCAAGCTCGCCCATCAACCGTCACCGCCAGACAAGAGTTATCCCTGCTAACATTTTAGAAAACAGAGAAAACTTAATCGAAAGTTGATGATCAAACTGCTTGCCTGAAATCCAGATCGCTTATCCCTTTGTCTGCCTTGTGCGGCTTGTCAAGAACAAGCTTTAGCAAAGGCCATTCGAAGACTTGCAGATGCCCGTTCTAACCAGCTTCAATTGGAAACAAGAAAGGAAAGATGGCAAAGTGGTACCTTTCCACCCATTGCGAGAAAGCTCCCATCCCGACTAAATTTCAAGGCGGACTGCTCGTTGACATGTTTCAAAGCTTGAAGTTGTTCCCTATCAGCAGCAATTTCTATACGCTTCCCTTCCTCTTCGTCACAAAAGAGCCTCAAAATCTCCAATTTTCCATCGTGTCTGTACAAGATCAGTAGGACCACAACATATAATCGTGAAAAATCGGTCTGCCTTCGGTTAGCAATGAAGGAGCACATAAAGTCGGTTCCGTTGGGATGGACGGCCAAAATGTTGGGAACTTCATCGTCCGTGTCAAACGTATAGAGCTAGACAGAAACCAAGAGATCAATTACGGAGTATTTGTGTACAAAACTAACCGGATCACTGAGGCGCAGGGAATCAGCGTCAAAGTTCAAGACAACAAGAAAGTTGGCGGCTCCAATGTGTCGATTGCCACCTCCACCACCGCAGATTATATGCCCGTTTTTGGCCCATGCAGCACAAAGCACAGGCGCGTTCAACTCCTTCTCCATGGCCTGAAGAAAAAATAGCAGATTAAGGATTTACCTTTTAAAAGCTAAGTTTACACCGGAGGAAAAAAGCACCACCTCCAAAATTATGACCTTGCCAAAATGTCACTTAGAAGTAAATTCATGCCCACCGTTTTGATCCCGTTACGCGGAAGTGATACCATGCGCTCTTGTAAGTCCACTGCCCGATCCTCCTCGCGATCTAGCCGAAATCTTTGTCCTTGGTGAGTGGCGGCCGAGATTCAGGCCAATTGCATCTGCAATTCCCAGCAGAAACGCAATTCATTTGGCACTTCCGACACTTGTCCCTAAAGACCATCGTCAAATAGCATTTCCATCTTTCTTTCGATGCACCAAACTGTGGACAAGTAACGCCCTTATCTTCAAACTTTACTGCTTCTCTGGCAACCCGAAGTTTTATAATGCTCGAGTTTCTCACTAGCATCCACCGTCACCCGTCATGATCTTTGGGTTGAGGCATGCAATATGTAACGTGTGAGACCATACGTATAGAGTATGTGCCGCATGAATTCCCCCAAGAGTAGACGAAGTTTCAATATTTTCTCAAGACAACATGAGCTTGATTAGATTTCGCAGCAAGAGCGTGATCGCCTTGGTGAATATGCATACTTGCATGCAGCACCATTACTCAAAGACAAATTCTCAAAGACAAAATGCTCGTCATGGTATTATTATTACTAGTACATGGAAGAGGTCAACTCTATGTGATGTAGGCATTTTGTTCTTGGAAGCTTGTCCCTGCAGTGAAAACTATATGTTCTTTACAATGGCTACTTACTCAAAGCTGTGAAGGTGATGACAGCATTACCTCCGATTGCAATTCAGCAGAAGACTGCACAAAAGGAAATAGGAATCTCGAGAGCAAACCGGACAACGACACAACAGCACCGTGAAAAACTTTTTCTCCTTTTTCTTGCATTTTTATTCCAAGTAATGTATGGTGCGTCTCTGCGTGTGTCTGACAAGCAAAGAAGAAAGTCTAAACAGTAAAAACAATGGGAGGAGAGTGGAGTTCCTTTAAGTTCTCAGCATGATATCGACAGTGGCATTACACAACAACAATAAGAACCAGATCCTTAAGAACCAATTTGAGCAACAACAACAACACCAACACCACCACGAAACAAAAGATCGGGGGAGAAGTCAGCTCTTCTTGGCTGGAGTATGTCAGTATAGCACGACCAATATAGTATAGTATAGTATAGTGGTGGTATATTATACGACCGCCACAAAGGCGCTCCAAGCTTAACAACACCAACATATATATCTCGATCCACTTGGCGCTGTTGTCTGTAGCACTACAACACTGATGTATGAAAAGACAGAGCCTCTCCTCACTGACTGCACTCCAAAACAAAAGTAGCAGGCAGGATCGAGTTACATTAAAAAAGAGAGACACAGTGTATATTTCTTCCCCTGGCTCAAAAGGCTGGCCTGGCATGGCTCTTCTTTAGAAAGTAAGAAGAAAGAAAAACATGAGATTATATACCGACTGATGCGGGATTGTCATTGTCTCCCCATCTTTTTTATTTTTATTTTTATTTTTTTGATTTTTTGTTTTTGTGTTTTCCTTCCTGACAGGAAATTTACAGGCCATATACTCGTGTGTGTTGCTGTTGCCGGCTGACTCTGTCGCTGGCTGTGGTTGCTGGTCTGAATTATGAGCCAAAGAGCTCCTTAGATTCATGCAGTATATACATGTAGCCAAGTTGGACATGACATAAAGGATCGTTCTTTTTGGAGGATATCTTGAACGCTTACAAAGTACGCCACGGTGACCATAAAATCTTTTTTTTTTTTCCTTCTTCTTGCAAAAACCCATGATCATCCGATGATCTTGTATAACCTTGATGTCTTATAAGTAGAAATCATCACTTGAATACATTGATGAAACTTCCAGCGGGGAGGAGACATGACAAGTCCTTCCGTAGTGTCAATAGGAAAGTATAGTACCGTAACAGAGACAGCCAACTAACACCCTTGCACACCAGAAATTCAAGGAAGTTACACGAGAGGAGAGGATCCCAGTTTTGTAAATTGTCCGGTCTGCTAACTCTTCAGAGGGAAAGCGACTTGGAGCTTATGCCTCTCATCTCTCTCTTGCAAAAGCCAATCTTATTGCGTCTCAGGGTGTTATATACGTTGTTGAACATTTGTTACCGGTTACCGTATCTCTGTGGACATTTTGCCGTGTCCTTGCTTCCATCCATACGTTGAATCACTGTTCATGCGTCATAAATGCGCGCATGTCATGATTTGATCGTCCTTACTGCGGGGGAGGATCCATTGCGAAAATATGCCCCAGTAAGTCGAGAGCAGCCAGCAACAAAAACAGTGCCTCTGAAAGAATGAATTTTCTTTTTTGATCAGCAGCAGCATACCAGTGTCCAGGCTCCAGCACTGGCTGCTGCCAGGCTCAGCTCTGATCTGATCAGATTGAGACACAGACTCACACACACACAATTTAAATAGTCATATGTAAAAAGTTGGGAGGTCTGCTTTGTATCGAAAATCTACACTGGGATGGGAACAAACGCATGCCACAAAAGCCTGAACTTGCTGCGATTGCAAGCGAATCATGAACTGGTGATGAAACAGAGCGTAAGAGCTCCTCCGGAGGGTTTTAGCAAAGCCACACGGACTCTGGAAACGCAAAGCGATGAACTAACTCAGCGCAACGGGGGACGAGGGACTCTATGGAGCATGTGTTTTGATGATTGATATGGTCAGTAATGATCAAGTCCGGGATTTGGAAGAGCAAATCTGGCGGATTAATTGGATGACAAAAGCGATTGATCCGATCCAGCCATGCATTATGCATGGGCATGCATGATCGCCAATGCATGGAAGCAAGCCAAAGCTGACACAAACACAAAACCGTACGTGGCGCCGAGGACCTCCACTCAGTCGACTAATTTACACACCCAAGTTGCGCCGTCCTTGCGCTGCTCTCGTGAATCGAGACTTGTTCTAGTGGTCCGGGGGGATTCAAGGAGAGAGGATTGGATTGCACTTGATGCAAAGGGCAACGCAGCTCTAACACTTTTCCGCCGAACCTCCACCACCTTTGTTTTCGCCTTGTCCCGTTGCTGGTCCCCTCCAACCTGAAGGCTGTGTGATTCCAAGACTTTTTTGTTTTCTCTTCCTTCTCTCCCACAGCATTTCATGCTCAAAGAATCATTTGGTGTGGTGTGGTCCATGACACAATTCGGCACAAGGGTCATTCTGGCAAGTGATTGAGAGAGATTATCCCTGGGTTGTTTTATATCAGAAGAAAAAACTATAGCTGGAGTGCAACTTAACAACCTGATTTTTGTTGTTTGTTTTCTCATCCGATCTGGATGTGCTGTAATGTAAGGCGGACAAGGACGACTCTCCTCATCTGTATAGATCATCTATCTCTGTATGTATCGAATATGGAAGCTTCTTTGAAAGGAGCATGTTCCAACGTTGCTATTAACAGTTCTCTGCTTTGAAATCAAACAATATTGGCACATCGTTTTCCTTGATTTCGTGGTCTACTTTCGCTTTGCCTTGGTGTGTTTGGTTTCTTCTCTGAAAGCATCAAGAAGAGCTGGCCAAAAGCTAATACCTCCCGCTCCTTTGATCAGGCCTCTAAATGCGAGCACACTGCTAGCTTAGTCAGTTTGGTAAGTGCGGTTGATCCATCACCAGGTAACGACAATGTGGTCGGCGCATATGGGCCGGGAGCCCACCCCGGAATTTTACAACTCTTATTTCAATCTAAACGATACGAGAGAAAGAATTGAATGAATCGATTGAGAGAAGCAGTCGTCGCCTTCCTTGGAACATTGGAAGAAAAGAAGTTGGTGCATGTAGACCCTCTCATAACGTACTTGTGGAGCGTGGAAGACTCTGGCCTCTCTAAACAAAACGTGGAAAAAACCAGCCTTTGCTTGCAGCGACCAAACTTTTGATAAACAAGGCATAAGATTCCAATGTGGTCGGATCATTAGACACCCTCTAAGCTGCTCTTAAATTTCTATATACAGACAGACCGCCTTTCTTGACTCGAGTCCATGTAATCCTTCAGTCAATTCGAGCATTGAAAGAGAGGAAAACAAAGGTAAAAGAAACGTATAAACACTGGATCCCAGCCAAAGCATTCATTCAACACATCCATTTCACATCCAATCATGTAAGCCACGTAGACAGGACCCCCCCCATACACGGTCGTATGGCAAAGAGAGGCATGGATGCCTACATTCGTTTGTTCGTTCCTCCGTTTTACTGTAGAGTTCATTGTGGTAGAATAGCTATGGCTGCAATGTTCTAGCGTAGGTAGAGATCTAGGCGAGCGATTCTTGTTCCGCGTCTAGCGTGACGACTCCCACCATCGGCTGATCAAATTCGCTGGAAAAATTTCTGGACTAACATATCTTCTTAAGTTTTCTAACGAAATCCAAAACGCGACACCAGATTTGCATCGATCTAGCACAGGAATAGAGCAAACGGATTCATGGATTTGCCTCGGACGTCTATAATCTCGTGCCCGTGGGCTGTACGGCGGAGAGATGGACGAGAAATGGAGGAGCTGTGTCCATGGCAACACGGGGAATGGTTCCGAGCCAGCAGCGCGCGAAGCTATATAGCAAAAGCTAGCTTGTAGCAAGATTCATACATGTAAGAAAGGCTACCACGGGACGAAATTGGGACTTCATCGGCAGAGGGAGGAGGAGGAGGAGGAGGAGGTGAAGGCGACGAAAGCTGGAGACGCGCTCTCGACAATCGCTTCCATGGAGCTTACCTCTCCACGGCCACCCAGCGCAGCGATGGAGCGGCCCTCCCATTCATTTTTGGAGCTCAGCAGCATTTCAGTGCTGCAGGAGCACCTGCTGGGCCGTCGTCTTCGTCGTCGTCCTCGTCGTCCTCACACAAGGACCCCTTCCTGATCGTCGGCAGGGATCCCTCTTCCTCGACGCCCTGCGCTGCTGGGCATCATCAACCCGTCGGCATGTCTGCAAGCAGGCGATCATCCTCGGAGCAGCAGCCACAGCCGCAACCGCAACCGCAGCAATCCTTGTCTCTGGACCTGGAAGAGCAACAAGGTCGGGCTGCTCCCCCCACCTTCGTCTCGTACATGGGCAGCCGACTGCCCGTGGCTATGGCGATTAGTAGAGATCAACACGACCAATTCTACCAGCTTAACAGATTGCCTTACGAGTCGATCCCCAGCTCGAGGCAGCCACCGGCACATCCGCAGCAGCAGCAACACGTGCTGGAAGGGGGATTCTTCTGGCCTGGGGCAGCTCGCTCTGCAGGAGGGGTGCCTCCGCATTTCAGCTCAGGTCCAGTGGCATATGGCTTGCGCGATTCGCCGGCAAGGCAAGAGCAAGAGACGGCGGGTCTCGTAATTCCCAAGCATATGGCGAGGCCGCAGCCGCAGGCAAGCAGATCCGACGAACCCAACACCCTGGATATGAACGTGCGAGGTATGAACCTCTTAGCACCCCAGCAGCGTTCATGGCCCGACCACCACCACCAGCAGCTGGCGCAATTTCATCAACTGCACCAGCTTCAGCTGCAGCAGCAGCAACACGCTCAGCAGCAGCAGCAACAGCATGTACAGCATCATCAACAACAGCAGAATATTCATCACCAAAGGCCAGACTCTCCCACTGTTGTTGCTCAGCTCCACAGATCGGGCTTGCAGCCGATTCTCCAGCACGAGCAGCAGCATCATCAGCTCCACCAGCAGCTTCAACAAGCTGGGCAGCAACAGCAGCACAATTTGCTGGCAAGCAGCTCCAGCACGGCCAGCGCCGGCGGGAGCAGCACCTGTAAGGAATGCGGCAACCAGGCCAAGAAGGATTGCGTGTACCAGAGGTGCCGGACTTGCTGCAAGAGCCGAGGTTTTGAGTGCTCCACACACGTTAGGAGCACCTGGGTCCCGGCTGCCAAGCGACGAGAGCGGCAGCTCGCCGAGGCTGCAGCCGTCGCATCGGGCCAGCCCCGTCCCAAATCCAAGCGGAACCGAGTCATTGCCATGCAGCAGCAACAGCTTCAGCTGCAACACCAACAATCCTCGGCCGAGCAGGTCATGATCTTAGACGAGGATATTACCGCCGTCACCCCCACCACCACCAACACCTCCAATTCCCCTCACAGTGACGCCAGGCAGCCGCAAGGTACGCTATTTCTTCTCGAAGCGACTGCCATTTGCTTGCTTTTTCCTGGGCAGTGCATGCATCATTCACGACTGCATTGTAACCTAGGGATGCATATAGGCAGGCGTGGCCTAAGAGCGTGAGGAATCTCTGAAGGACCTTGCCTCTTGTTTGCTCTCAGCAATCAAAGTACAGGGGGAAAAAGAGAAACCAAAGTGTTACTGCAGCCAACTAGTCAGGTTTGTCTGTCACCAAAAGCACCTTAAGTTCCGGGCAATTGAATGCTCCATGCAGCTGAGAGCAGCTGCTAAACTGAAAAGCTTGCATAAGATTGCTCTCTGAATTCATGAATTCATGAATGAATGAACTGAACATATAATCCGTACTCAGCTTTGCATTTGTTTGCGACAGATGCAGGCAGCTTGCCCTCGGAGGTGAGAGCCCAGGCGGTTTTTAAGTGCGTCAAGGTGACGAGCGTGGAGGACGGTGGGGAGGACGAGTTTGCGTATCAGGCAGTGGTCCGAATAGGGGGCCGGATCTTTAAGGGAGTGTTGCAAGATCACGGCGTTGATGCTGGTGGAAGCATCAGTGGCGACACGACCAGCCTGGGTGATCTCCAGCAAGGTGGTGGTGGTGGTGCTGCTGCCGCTGCTACCGTGGGAGGAGGAGCAACAGCAACTGGAGGATCGCCCACCCCTCCGCAGCTCTTGCAGCTGGATCCAATGTTTCATGGAGGAGGGTCATCAAGCCAGAGCCACAGTCACCACTTCCACCAAAGCTCTAGTAGAGAGGTAGAGTGACAATTTATTTGTCCTAGAATTGTTGCTCGTGGCGAGAGCGTGTAAAGATTCATCTCGCAATGAGAAGTCAACGGTCTCAACCAAGCCATGTGTGCTTGACACGTCGGATTGTTTTCAACGGTAAACTGCCACGTCCGCCTTTGGCTATGGCTGCTCTTCACAGGATGCGTCTCTCGTTCCGGTCGCTGGGTTGCGGCCTCTCGTGGAGCTTCAAAGGTAGGGCGAGGCGGCGCTTCCTGTGGTGGGGCAAGCGAGACGATGAGATGCGTGCCAAGGCGACAGTCACAGCCAAGGTGAAGGGAGTGCTACTCCACCTGAGAATTTTCATGCTTCTTGGCCCGGCCCCTCATGGCGGACCTGCGAGTCATGGTGCTGGGATTTGGAGGAGGGTGGACTATTCCGCTCGGATCAGCTGCTGGAAGAGCTTCCTCAAGCTCAAAGGAAGCAGCGTTCGTGCTACCACAAGTAGCGCTGGGCCGAGCCGTCCAAGCCCAAGTGTTGCCTCGTCGCAGGTACAAAATGGTACCTCGAATATGTTCCAGGCCATTGTCACCAGAGTTTTCAGCAGATGGTCTCCTTCACAGCTTTTCAAAAGCTTTGAATGCTCTTACCTGCTTGGATTTCTGGGTCTGGCTTGGAACTATATGTGGGAGAAGTTTTTAGAAGCGTTTGCAATTGTCGTGGCTTTGATAGTCGATTTGATTATTCGTAAACTTACAATGTCACTCAAATATTTTTATGCAAGAAGATAGTTTGATTATATTATAGATAAAACTATTCTAGTAAAATATATTTGTAGTATTTCATCAAGAACATTTTCTAATAAATCATTGGATGGATTCAAAAGAACAATCCCATGATCATGTAATAAGAGGCAATTATTAGAAATTTGTGGAATTTCTACTTCCAAATCCACTGTATTTTCTAGTTTTTTAATCTAAAGGAGTAACCTCTTACACATGCAAATCATTAAAACTGTGAAGGATTTTATAAGATATGTTTATAAACTAAATTGATTAGTATATACTATCTATCTAATGGTTAAAATTCATTTATAAATTCATATTGTATTTATACATATTTCTAATTTAAATAATACTATGAGTGCATAGTGGAATATAAAAATATGTATATCAATTAACCCAAAAACCCTAACTTATATATAAGAGCAAATGGTTCAACTACCAAAATCCCACTATACTAATATTAGTATACAGCATTGTAGTTGTACAATTGGACCTCACAATATATATATTTCAAAAATTCAAAAGGTAATAACAAGCAATTATTACTTTAGAATCCAAAATATTTCATTCAAGGATGAATTGTTTTGAATTATTATTATAATTTGTATCTAGCAAAGAAGAACATGACCAGCTATTTGCCTCTCTCTAGTGTCAATGCAAGTTAAATCATTTGTAATAACTTCCTTGATTGGATTATATTCCTATTGAACTTTATCGATAATTATTGTAGCAAGTAAATAATTTTTCTCAGTATGTGTTCAAATTGATTAACTTAAAATAAAAACTGTTATGTTTGAGATTCTAGTTTATTATATCATTTTCCTTTTCAAATAACAGTCTTATTTTACTTTATTTTAAAATTTAAAATTTGAACTTTTTGCTAGTTTATAAAATAAGTTTTATGCTAAAATAAGTTATTAATCTATTTATATTTTACTTATAAGTAAAAAATAAAAAGTTTATTATTTATTTAAAGGATTATATTATATTGTTTAAATAGGTGTACAAACTTGATGATGACTATAATAATATTTTTTAGTAATTGTATTATATTCATACTCTTTATTTAGCACAATAGTATCAAATAATACATATTAAAATTATAGTTTTAATTGATCTTTCTTAGACCTCACAGTTTTAGTATAATTTATTTAGTGATTAAAGAGATTCTTGCAAAGGCATACTTGGAGGGTGTGGTGGCAATGCTGGAGGAACCACCACGTTACCACCAACAGTAAGTGCTATAACTACTCATTAGTGTTAATTATAAAATATAATTCTGCCAAATAGTTATTCTAGGTCGAGAATTTTACAGATTAATAAATTTACTTTAATACTTAATAAAGTGTTAAAAGAGAGAAAAGAATATATGCATAATTTTATGAAATTCTAGGATATATAAGTTATGGAACACTTAACATTGTATCAATATATATAAAGAGAAAATTTTGAACTAAATTGAATCACTTTTATCATTAAACACTGTAGAATTTGAATAAAACTCAAAAATTAAATTTTATAGACTATATTAAATATGTTTACCAAAAATATTACAAGACTGATTGTTCAGCTTTTCCATTTTCTATCACTCAAGAAGTATAAACACTTTCTATTGCTAAGAATAAGAATTTTAATTGTTGAATAATTAATATTTTAATTTTTGGGTTTTTATTTTATGAAACTTAATATTTATGGTGTATTAGTTAATAATTTGTTGCACATTGTATGCAGCAAACATTTGATTTTCTTAATAGCAATGTTGTTCATGTGTAGTACACTTTATTAATCCTAATTCATCAAATAAATGTTTATAATTTCAAACATATTTATATTTTATAATACAATATTAATCTTATTGCATATAAACCATTATATAGTAGAAAGTATTTAGAAAATTTTATAAATTATAAACATGTTTATTAATTATTAAACAAGATTAATCTAAATGAAAAATTGTTAGATGGTAGAATATCCCAGAATATATAAGTATATTCTAGGTGTAACTTAGAAATTTGCTTAAGGAAAAAGTAAAACTTTTCCTTTTTGAGCTCTTCACAACTTCCTTTAAAAAATTGTAAAAATATTTTAATGTTTGCCTAATGTTTTTGGTAGAAATTTTGGCTGTTCATGAAAACATGGTTTAGCATGGGCAATTACATAGTTTTGTATACATCAACACCACATATGAATTCTTCATATGCTTTGTTGGGAAATTACATGGTTTTGTATACATCAATACCATATATAAATTTTTCATGTGCTTTGTTAGGCAATTTGATATAAAGCATAATATCATGGAGAAGGAAGAATTGGCTAATGGATAAAAAATGGGATTGTTTTGAGCACTAGGCACAGCTTGCATTAGATCCACATTAGGTGTCTATTATCTCATTGAATTTCTTGGGTGGGTTGCTTAACTTGATTTTTGTGGTTTAAAACTGTGGATAGAAGCCACTAGCAATTGATAATCAAATTTGATAGGTGTGATCTTCTTCTTAGTAGTCATCCTCTCAATGAAGGGGTAATGTATTTGGGTTAGATGGAGAGGTAATCCTCTAACTTATTTAAATTGATAAACTTTTTCTTGAGTTATTTCTTTAGTGGTAGTGTAAACTAGAGTATGCACCGATAAGGATGTCGATTTTCTCAAGGGAGGAGCATGTCATGAATATGATTGTGAATATCGAAAATTACTTATTAGTGAGTCCTTTCAAATATTTTTTTTTTTACTACCATAATGGCAGGTGGTCGGTACTACTAATTCCTTTTATCAATCCCTCTTGTTCAAGTGTTACTAAACTATATTTAATATTTATATTTGGCTTAATGAGCATAAGGAAGGAATTTTTAAATGTTTATTTAGCTAAAGCATACTTAACTTGGTTTTTTAATTATCTTTTACTTTGTTTTGTATTGGTTTGTTAAGAACCCCCACATATTGAGCACTACTCCTTTAATATCACTACATGATAGTTTATTGTGTCCACTAAATACCCTCATTATCATGCCCCATGTTAATCTTATTTGGTTTTATAAGCTATTTATAAAAAGTGTCTAGATTTATTAATTATGCATGTAGAGAGTGTGTTTGTTCTTGTTTTGTATCCAGCTTGGGTCTAAACCCTATACCATGCTAGCTAGTGGAATACTTATATCCTCGTGTTAGACCACTAGTATGTTGAAATAAAGTTAAATTCTGTTTGGCTTTGTTTTGCATATTAGTCTTTGGTATTGAGATACTAGATGCTCTAAACATATTCTAATATCACTCCATATTCATGTATTTTGCTTCCCTTTATTTAGTGGCTTAAGACTTTAAAACTCAAGTTCTGTTCTATTGCTCTTGGCCCCAAGGGCTAGGTTTTGCTCCGTAGTTATTCTATAGTAAATCACTATAGGATATATGATGAAAATTACATGTGGTTTTATAAGTGAATAATCTTGTGTATATTTTGAAATTCAAAATATACCAATAAAGGGCTTGTTTTGAAAATGTGTCAATGTTATCTAAACAATATAAGTTTTTAAACCCAAAAAGGTAGTAAATTGTCACACTACAACTATGTACTCAAGTGTATGTTATTCATACTGGCACAAAACTCTTGGCTTTTCGGGCACAAAAAAAATCTAGAATAAAGAACACACACATTAGCATATATATTAAAAATGAATATATATAAATCAATTATTTATTTATATGCAAATTTTATATTGCAATGCTCATCACTCCTTACACAATCATTACAACAACTATGAAGCTTAAGCTAAGAAGCAAAAATTCAATAAAGAAAACCTTATGCTATTGCTTTGCAATATGTTTAAGCCTAACAAACCACTAAAATGCCATAATCTTACATGCGTGATTAGAGATATTAGAAATTGATAAAGTTAATACCTTACCATAGTTACAACACAATTCACTAGCTCATATAAAACCATTGCACTCAATCCAAAGAAAGGCTTTATGCTTGCCTTTATACATCACACTTCAAATAAGCCACAAGAAATGACATTTGCAAAAGTAATTGAAGCACCATGCTTTACATTAAAATATATTAAATGTTTCTAAACCACAAAAAATGAGGCACAACTGTGCAATATGAGAGTTGAATGGAGCATGTGTAAAAGAGGAGAGAGAATGCCATAGTTAGAAGATCATAAATTCACACTTAATGAAAAAAAGAGATAAAAACTCATTAAATTCATAGTTGGCAATTTTGAAATGTCATGCCTAATTTATACATGGTATATCCCATGCAAAAATATTATACATATATATATTATCACATTTTAATAGTTTTTATAGCAATTGAAAGGTGATTATGTGCATAATATTTTTTCATAGAACTCAAAAATAAAAATAATTTGCTATGTGTTGCATGTAGAACATTTGGTTTGCTTAAAAGTAGTGTTATTCCTACTTATTAATTCAATTTATCAAATAAAAGTTTATTTATAATTTATAAACACAAGACTAACCTTATATTAGATGGTAGAATAAAAAAGAATATACTAGAAAGTGTTTAAGTATGTTTATAAACTATAAACATGTTTATAATTATAAATACAAGATTAATCAAAATGAATAACAACTGTTAGATGGTAGAATATCCTAGAATATCCAAGCATATTCTAGGTATATTCACTGCCAAAAATATCTGCATATATATTTATAAATATATATGTGCAATCCATTACGAAAAAGTTTATATGTTTACACTCTATGATAGAATTTATTTTTATGGGAAGAAATAAAAGGACTAGACATCAAAATAATTAACTTTGATGCAGCAGAGGGATGATTATGTCCATTCCGTGTGGACTTGGCGTTTGCTCGTGGAAAACATCTGTTAATCAGAGTGTCGTGCAAAAAGGCACCATTCCACTTGTTACTAAATCTTATATCAATCGCATATTATATATAATTTGGTTGCTTCTCGCAGCCTTTTTCTCGGTCGAACGATGACCCGGGACAGATTTTTTATAAACAAATCAAAGAGCAGCTAGGGAGCCATCTGGGATCCCCATTGAAGTCCACAGCATTATTGTCACACGGCGGGATCTTTTCTCAGGGCTTGTCTGGTCCCTGTGATGTTTGTGGGCGATCATGGTTTGCGCCTTGTGGAGCTTGTCTCCAAACAAAGAACGCAACGAAGCCCATGCCTTGTTTGCAGCGATTCGGAAGGGCGATGTGGGTGGCGTGAGGAATGTGGCGGAGCAGCATCCACATCTACTCAATGAAGCTCGGTCCCTGCGCCGTCTAACGCCCTTGCACTTGGCGGCCTCCATTGGTCAGCTCGAGGTATGGTGGACCAAAAAAAAACCTCTTTTCAATGGCTCGGTTTCTCTTTTTGATCATCAGGTCTTGATCGCATTGCTCGAGCGAGGCGCCGATGCAGAACCTCTGGATCGGTATGGCAAGGTAAGCACGCTCGTGAATCATCTGTGCGTGAGAAGTAAGTGCTCCAAGTCATATTCCAGACACCCTTGATGCTTGCTTGCAAGCAGAAGAAATGGGCTTGTGCCGAGTGGCTTCTCGATCGCGCCGGAGCGAATGTAAGGAACTTACACTCAGGATTGACTTCTAAACGAGTTTTGCTTGCCCGTTTGGTCCATAGATAATTGTATTTGGTTCGTCACGCGGAAGAACATGCTTACACTATGCTGCCAAGGGAGGAAACTCTTCGTGCGTCCAGAAGATCTTGGCAGCAGCCGATTCAAGTACTTGGTACGTTCTAAATCCTTTGAACGTTTTGTTTCCCCGATGGCCAACTTGTATGCTTTCTCCAGGGGTCTGGCGAGATTCCTGAATGCGCAAGACAGGAGCGGGATCACTGCTCTTCACCTGGCCAGCTTGAGCGGCCATGCCGCCGTCGTCCAGGAACTTCTAAGCAACGGAGCGCTGGTCTCCGCGAGAACGATTCCTTATGGCCAGATCAATGAGTAAGTCATCCATTTTTCTGTCTTACAGAAGAGAAAACTTTCGACTTGGTCAGACTTGGTGGCGGAATGTCCCCGCTGCATGCTGCTGCTCGTGGAGGCTCGGTCGAATGCGTGCAAGCGCTCCTCTCATGGGGAGCAGACCGAAGGCATCGTGACAACGAAGGGTGATCGCATCAAACGTAGATCTCTTCTTTCTCATCATCGTTTGCTTCACAGGTTCACTGCTTACGGAGTGGCCAACGAGTACCACAACTTCGCGTGCGCGGCTCTGCTCAATCCCAACGCAGCAGAGCCGCTGGTGTGGCCATCGTCTCTCAAGTTCATCAAGGAGCTGGAGCCGGAGGCCAAGAAGCTGCTCGAGGCGGCTCTACGCGAGGCCAACCGGCGGCACCACCGACAGCAGCACCGACCACGAAAACAAAATCAACAAGAGCGAGATCTATCCCAGGCAAGACAAACTTTTCACTGTTGTCCCCACGAGTGCGAGTGGTCTCGAGAGACTTTGTTCTCTTTCTTTTTCCTTTGGACGATTGAGTGGATGATCTCCGTCGAGTGAGCGAGTGACACGGCAAGAGAAGCACAGATTAATTCGCTGCTGCTGTGGACAGGAACTCGCTGCTAGTGGGAGCAGCTCCATCAAGGACGAGGACGTGTGCTGCATTTGCTTCGACCACTTGTGCACCATCCAAGTCAAGGACTGTGGCCACCAGATGTGTGCAACCTGTGCTCTCAAGCTCTGCTGTCACGGCTCCTCGTCGTCGTCGTCATCACCGCCGGGAGCACTAGCATGTCCGTTTTGTAGGCAGGACATTGCATCGCTCGTGCTGGCTCCATCATCGATATCTCATGGCTGCCGGGACGAGCAGCAGCAGGTTCACCACCAATCGTCGTCGTCGTCGTCCAGGCGATCCAGGAGAGTTAAACCCCTCTCGCCGAGCGTTTCGGTTGTTCTTCGTCAACTTAGTCATGAGGTATGGCGGAATCATGGCACGTTGGTGTGTTTGATCATTCCTTTAATCTTCTTTTCTTCTCGTTGCAGGAGATGGAAGGAGGCGATGCTCCACCACCACCAAACTCGAGTGGATTAAACAAAGGGAAAGAAGTGTCAATCCGGTGGGTGTAGAGCTGAAAGTTTTTGTGCGTGCTGCCAGGCCTAGGAGGTAGAGGAACCGATCGCGAAAGCAAAGATTTTGGAGAGCGTTTGCTCGCGGAGTCGCTGCTGTTGCGTTTGTCCGTGTCGAGCCTTGATTGTCATTCAATGCCCGGCAACGGCCGTGCAGACCCGACGATGGTCTCATGAACTTCTTGCCACTCCCTTAAAAAGCTTTTTCTTTCTCTTGCTCTCACTCGTTGCTTCGTCGTCGGGGAGGGGCGACCGGATGGATTGAGCATGAATGAATGGATCCTTCGCTCGTGTCGCATTGCAATGCAGCCCAGGAGCATTCGTTCTTAATTGAGAGTGCTTTCCTCGGAGAGAAAGTACTTTGGATGGAGGAGGGAGCACTCCTCGGCTGGCTATGGCTATAGGGCATCTCTCCAAAGCCCCTACCTTTCTCCCACTTGTAATGAATGCGAGAGGTAAGATTCGATACTAGATAGATAGCTAGACTACTGGAGGTCGCGCTGATTCCTAGAGGCACGCTCGCTCTCTTCTCAATGGATCGCGACGAGGAAGAGAGACCGCCGTCTGGATGGCCGCTCGGGCTCGAGCCCGTGCACTTGAGGAAGAGAGTGCTCGACACACTGGTGGACGAAGATCGAGATCCAAGCAGCAACACAATGAGAGGCACCGCCGGCGGCGCCAAGATCTCCACCACCAGCTACTCCGACGAGACCTCCAACTTGGAAACCGAGGTACGCATCAAGACACTGTTTATGGGTTATCATGATCTCGATCGTGCAGTCGAGCTGCTCCTCCAAGTTCTTCCCGGATGACAAGCCCGTGACGCTGGGCGAGATCCTGGGGATGTCGCTCAACCATCTGGCCACGAGCTCCTTCCGATCCATCGAGCTCCACGTCGCGGAACAACCATCGTCGTCGCGGTCGAGCACTAGATCCTGGTCGAGCCCCTGGAGCCTGATGATGCGATGCAAATGCACCAGGGCGTCGACGGCCTCGAGCAGATTCGAGGACGATATCCCCATGCCCGGCAGGATTTACACGAATTCCATGTTCGAGGAGGATGGCGATCAGCACAGCGACGGCGGCCATGACCGTGATCCGGTCTCCCTTTTGGACCACCTCCGGGGCTCTGCGCTCCACGACATCGCGGAGAATCCACTCTTTCTGCTTGATTACGTAGCAACGAGGCAACAAAGGAGAGCTAGCTAGCATGAGCGAGTGGATTCGGAGTGGACTTTTCCCTCCCAAAGGTCAAAGCCTTTGGGGTGCATTGGATGTTGACTTTGTGAGCATTGATATTTCTTGTTTGATTTACGCTAAGCTGACTTTTGGATCGATGCCTTTCTTGACCCCTCTTCTAAAAACCGGAGCAAACTCCGGGTCTTTGCCATGAGAAGGTGAAGACTGCACGAAAGATTATAATAAAATCAAGAGGAATGCCTCCAACTCCTTGAGCCCTTGACAAATGTCATGGATCATTCCCAACTTGATTGCACCTTTTCTGTGATTAGCCCCTCTCCTCTGACTCGCTCCAAAAGCTCACCCTTAGTGTCGTCGTGCTGTTCTTCCCCATCATCTTCCTTGGAAGGATAGAATTACAATCGTGTCGTCGTGTCTGTCCCATTGCAAAGACAATAGGGGCAAAAACACCAAGCCGAATTTATCATCTTGTATTGTGCTTCTTTCCTGAAAGATCCATGTACAAGTTGGTGTGAGCTTTCGTCGCAAGCACAGGGCAGCTTCAAGGCCAAAATGAGGAGAATCCAAATCGAGATCAAATCGGGGTAGCGCACCAAAGATTTCCCAAAATTGACCCATCCCAGGACATACTTATAGGTACTTTTGCTCGTTGTCATGCAATCTCGGTGAAATATTCCAAGCTTTAGCTCTCTTTTAGGAAAGGAAAGCTGGGCTGGCGGAGCATATATCTTGGATAAGCTCACTCATCAACTTACAGGTCGAATACATTTTCTATACAACTGTGTATCAAAAAAAAAAAGAGGGTGTTGGTGTTGCTGGAAAGTACCACTGGATCCCCCCAATATACAATATGAAAATGCCAGAGAAGGGGGATGAATGCCCCTGTGTGTCGCGAATTTTTGTTAAGTGGGATGTGAACGATTGCCCATTTTCGAGCAAAGCATAATCAGCAAGCCCAAACATCAGCGCACACCAACCATACATTTCAAGATTCCAAGCTCACATACATTGAACCCCGGAAGGCACCGGAATATGCCGTGCCGCCGGTGGGTAGCCGCCGGCGGTGGAAATACACACGTGTCCGGGAGGGTTAGCCAGTTGTTATATCCTCTGCCACGTGGATGCGGGTGAGTGGGTGAGGCGTTTGAGCGGTATATATATAATTTTTCTCTCACACCTTCGTTCCATCACTGGAGAGAGCCGAGCCCACAGAAGCGTTTCTTCTCCTCCCAAGTCTCTCCTTTCTTCTTCCTCCTGTCTCTCCAAGAGTCCGAAAATTCTTTGCCTTGTGAATCGATTGCTCTGCTCGCCAAATTGCGCGATCGCCCGCCCGCCCGCCCGCCCACAATCGAGCCGAGCGAGCCCATTCCAATCCAATTGGCCGATCGATCGAGCGCAATCAATCCATCCATCGGGTTTTTTTGTGCTCTCCGCAAAGCTCTCTGCCCGGGAGCTACAGAGGGAGGGATGGTTTTCTTCCTCGTCGCGGCAGCTGCTCTGTACGCGCTTGCATTGACCCTGCTGCTGCCATGGATTTACCAGCGCGTGAGCCTGCGGCGGATCAACCTGCCGCCGGGATCGCTGGGCTGGCCTTTCCTGGGCGAAACACTGAGGCTCTACACGCAGTCTCCCAACGTCTTCTTCGCATCCAGGCACAAGAGGTAAATGTCCTCCCGGGAAAACACCAACGCAAAGAGCGAGAGACCATGATCCAAGAATCAAACCATTACAACACCCAAGCGCTTCTATACTCTGCTCATGCTCTTTCACTCTCCCTCTCGCCAAGCACACACTGTGCTTTTTCGTGCCATTGTTTTCTTGGCCTCTTTCTTCTTTTTTTTTGGTTGGGCGTGACTGACTCCTCTCGTCCGTGTTCTTGGCGTTTGTTCTTTTCTAGGTATGGTGAGATTTTCAAGACACACATCCTGGGCTGTCCCTCGGTGATGATCGCCAGCCCCGAGGCCGCCAAGTTCATCCTTGTCACGCACGCCCACCTCTTCAAGACCACATTCCCATCGAGCAAGGAGGGGATAATCGGGCCACACGCGCTCTTCTTTCACGATGGTGACTACCACCGCCGGCTCAAGCGCCTCATGCAGAGCTGCTTCTCTCCAGAGGCCATCCGAGGTCTCGTCCCGCACATCGAGGCTGTCTCCCTGGCCGCCCTGGATTTGTGGGAGTCGTCCCAACACCCGATCGACACCTTCCACGAGATGAAGAAGGTAACTCCACCAATTTACTCTCTCTTGCCATCAGCTACCTTGTCAAACTGCTACACTTATCTTCTTGTGATCTTTTGTGCTCACACCATTCATTGCTGGCCGCAGTATGCCTTTGACGTAGGAGTCCACCAGATATTTGGCGGGCAAGAGCGTGGGCTAGATCGAGGGGATCTCAAGCGTGCCTATCAAGCACTGGAGCGAGGATACAATTCATTTCCTATTGACATTGCCGGGACTCCATACAATACAGCCATGAAGGTGCTCTCTCTCTCCTCTCTCTCTCTCTCTGTCTGTGGGAAAATACCGTTAGAATATACTCCCGTCGTCCTCGAGCTCCCTTGCGTTGACAATGGTATAGTGCTGTCTACTTGTATGTCATAGTGGGTCTCTAGGAGAGAAGTCGTGCCTAGAGTGCTTCTTTAGTACTTTAGATTCCCCTTCTTCCCCCTTTATTTCTCTCTAGCTTTGCTTTTTCTCTGACTTTCTGAGGAGTTTTTTTTTGTTTCTGGTCCCGTCCAGGCAAGGAAGCACTTGAGCACGGTCGTGAGTCAGATCATCAAGGACAGGAGGCACCGACAAGAAGAGGCCCGCGGACACGATGGGGATTTGCACTACACAGACTTGCTCACCAGGCTCATGGACTCTAAGGACGGCATGAGCGACGAGCAGATCGGGGACAATGTGATTGGAGTTATCTTTGCGGCCCAGGACACCACCGCCAGTGTTCTAACGTGGCTCCTCAAGTACCTCAAGGAGAACCCCGTACTTTTGGACGCTGTCACGGTAAGCAATAGTCAAACGCCTCTTTTCTGTTCCACATTTTTGTGGATCTTCTTTTCTATCGTCTTCTTGTTGTAAGTTGTGTGACGACTAACTAGGCCATCTGGAACTCACTCGACGCTTTGGGCGTTTGTTTTTTTGTTCTTGTCGTCAACTTTTAGGAGCAGTTTTTTTATGTGTATATATCTGGCTGATCGCTCGAGCTGTTGCTTTTGCAGGCGGAGCAAGAGCGAATTCGAAGGTCGATAATTGATGGCGACAGAAGCTTATCGTGGTCGGATACCAGGAACATGCCATTGACTTCACGGGTTTGTATTGCACAAGTTTTTCTACCTCGACTTATTATAAGTCCGTGCAGGCGATTCAAGAGACCCTACGACTCGCTACCATACTCTCCTTCACTTTCCGAGAAGCCGTGGAAGACGTCCAATACAAAGGTATTTTACTTGTTAAACAAGTCTTGGTTCTTCTCCTCGAGCTTTGAAAGTTGACACTGTCAACTCTGGCTTGCGTGTGACAAATAGATTACATAATCCCCAAGGGCTGGAAAGTGATGCCGCTGTTCAGGATGCTCCACCACAGCCCAGACTTCTTCCCGGACCCATTCAAGTTTGATCCCTCCAGATTCGAGGAGCCGATCAAGCCCAACACGTTCATACCGTTCGGAAATGGCCTCCATTCATGCCCAGGCAACGAGCTGGCCAAGCTGGAAATACTCGTGCTTGTGCACCACCTTACCACCACATACAGGTTGGCCATCTCAGCCTTTTTATTTATCAAACAATGTGTGTGATCGTGTATGTGTACATACAGATGGGATTTTGCTGGAGCAACCGAAGGAGTGGAGTACAGACCATTCCCAGTGCCAAAGGCCGGGTTGCCCATCACCATTACACGCAAGTAAAACCCCCAAGAGTGAGTGAAAAAAATTCGAAATAAAACAACTCAATTCTTACAAAATTTTGAAAAACATTAAAAAAAACTAATGTAAAGAAAAAATATTTCATTCGAACAATTTGGACAAACCATTTGGTTCTAGACCTGTGGGTGGCATCCTTGAAACACAAACAGACGCAAAATGAAGTTCCGTTTTGAAAACTGTTTAGTAATCCACTTTGTTTCAGATATTATTCTTTAATTTAATATTTACTTTTTACAAAAGCTTGCAAGCAGTATATGGGTGCCGCCGAGAACATTAGTACACTAGTTTCACTTCACTCACAGCTCAGCCTATCTTCTTGAAGGTCGTCCCTAGTTCCTCTGTTTCGACATTGTCAAGTTATGCTCTCGGTATAGCTCTCACTTCTTTTATCATTTTCTTGCATCACGAAGAGAAAGAGAACCAGGTGACGTTTCAGATCAAATAGATCGGCTGACTGATATGGGTTTGTGCTGCAACTCTCTGACTTCTAGATCCTTTTTGACGCATTGATCTATGGTAGGCTGATCAGTCTTCACCTATTGCTGATAACTGAATGTTTGCCTGTGAATAGCACATATCAGGTAACCAATGTATGATATATAGGCACGTATTCCAAGGCGCCCTTATAAAAGAGCACATCAAGACTTTGCTTCTCCCCATCTAGTGCTAAAGCTTGCTATCTTTTCCAAATTGTTTGAGTTCGTCAAAAGGTACTGGTTATCGTTTAAGTGCTGGACATAAAGTTCATATACACTGCTCAAAACCAGCCTGCTTCTTTACATTGCTCTCGGATTGTTAGCGTCAGCCACCACCATGAGACATCCGCTCTTGGAGCACGCATTCCACTGGAATGCCTCCCTCTCAATCCTAACACTAGAATGCCACTGGAAAAGATGTGTTTAAACAGGTTGGCCATCTCAGAATCGTGTATGTATGCATACAGATGGGATTTTGCTGGAGCAACCGAAGAAGTGGAGTACAGACAAAGGCCGGGTTGCCCATCACCATTACATCGACGATTCTTACAATATTTTGATCACGAAGAAATGTAAAGATAGTTTGAACAAACTTGGATTTGAAATAAATAATAATAATAATAATAATAATAGTAATAATAAATTTTAAAAAATTAGTCTAAATTTATGGAGCTCAAAGAAACTGCAATCAATTCTATTGCATATTTTTCAGCTTGATCAAAGGTAACACAATGTTTTTTATAACAATAGAAGACACTACTGAAAAGCTAGCTCTGTTGGAACGCGAATGGTAAGCAAGCTGTTACGGAAAGACTCTCTAGCCTGCTTCACGTCAGCACTAGAGGGAAGCTTAAGTTTATTTTGCTTGAAGACGTTGCCGCTGGTCTTAACGATGAGTTCCGGCCCTGCACAGTCCACAATCACTTCAAGCCTGGACGTTCAACAAGCCAAAAGCTAACGCGAGAGTTCCAGAACTTCGACACGAAGAATGTGATCTAGCAGCTGAAGTCGAGTAAATGCCAAAGTTCTTTCAGCTACACCAAATGCCACAGTACAAGGCATGGAAGTTTCAACAACTCTCGACAAGCTCTTTATTCTAGTTCGTCTTCAGGATTCAGAGCCACTTCTACTTAAAGTCTACTGTCACAGGCTCCTCAATCATCAGTTGTGCAAGAGCAGATCCCCAATCTTGGGAAAAGTTCCCATAGGAAGTTTGATGGACTTCATCACCTTTGGCGGCCCCCTAGCATCATCAACGTACTTCCTAAGGACCAGATATTACCAGAAGGAGGTGACTGTACAACACAGGTCTAGGTTGAAGTACCAAACAAGTGGGAAGTCCCAGTGATGGCGTAGAGCATTTTCTCATGGATTGGCTGCTTTTATCTAGGATCTTCTGATGCCCAGATTATCCCATCTTCCTGCAAGGAGATAGGGTTCCGCTCCATTTCTTCTTTCGCGCTTGCTGCTGATGCTGTCCACGAGCTCTCTGCTGCTGTTCCTATAAATGAACATCGTTGATGAAAAGAAATACCTGTCAGCAGTTCCAAATGTACATCGGTCCCTTAAAAACAAAATAACTGTCAATCCATGAGCTTTGTCCCTCAAAACAAAAAAGGAAAGAAATTGCCTCATGCTAGCCATAAACGCTTGAATGAAAGGCAACCGGCGACAGCCACTCCACAGCCGATGGATAAGAAAAAAGATTTAAGACCATACCTCGAAGAACGCTTGTGAAAGAAGCCTTGCATCGAGCTCTGAAAGTGAAGCCCAGTCCGTGTTCCCGTATTTCTGGATGACAAACCAAGCCTTGTCCGTATCTCCTACGAACTTCGCAAGGTCTCCAAAGTTCTTCACCGCTGTAAAATAAATTCAAATAAAATACAACCCACCCACAAACCTCCTGCTTTCAATAGCTTTGAGACAGCGCTCTCCACGGCTTCTCTGGATGCGCGCCAGTTGATTTCGAACCTAACAAGAAAAAAAATATTAGAGCCTTACCTCGTGCTTCATCCGAGTCTCGCAAACAGTCAAAGTATTGCACTTGCCAGCGAGTCTAGAGAACATGGGAGGAGCAATGAGAGCTAGCTTGAGATCGCTAAAACCCAAAACCCTAGAGACAAACCCGAGAAAAGCAAGCGCGAGCGGCATCCACACAGCAAGCGCGAGTAGGAGTAGGTCACCTGAGAGAGCTTCTTGCCTTTGCTGCCGCTGCAAACCACTGACGGACGGAGTATGGAGAGTTTTTGTGGATGGTGATACTCCGTCTAGAGAACCATGTCCTCGGCCAAGTCTTTCGGGCGCTAGGTGACTCTGATTGTGCCGCCAGGTGCTTCCAGGGGCATCTCCTGGATCACATGCTCCAGTACTCCGAAATCGTGAGCGGCGACTCCCCCCATCCGCTGGGAAACCACTCGGGTTTGACGACATAGGCGACTACGGCTATCCAGACATGACCAAACTCGTGAAAAACGCCTCGCAGAATGTAATCCGCGGCTTGCGTGGAGAGCCACCCATACATCACCGCACAGAGGAAGAAACTCGCCTCGTGCACAACTTTTGCTGGAGTGCTGCCAAGAGGGAGCACGAATTGCAGGAGCAGGCGCGCCTGTTTGCCGCTGAGTGTTATACCAAGTTCTTTGTTCTGCGCCTCGCCGGTCTGGTCTGGGAGCAATCTCGATCATATGCTACACCGGGCGTGCCACATACTGGTGTCACCAGCGTTGAGTTGACGAGGTGCGCCAGGGGCCTTGAGTTGGCCCAGGAGGTGGCTGATGCCGGGGGGTTGCCGGAGTTCCCTCGTCACGGCGGTCTCGTCGCTTTCTACAACTTTGAGAAGAAACACGCTTACCAGCTGTTGCTAAACTGCCGCAAGCTCTTTGATAAAGATATGGCTTCGATCCTGCCTGGAGTGTTTTAACTTCGTTTCTTTTTGTGGCTTACAGGATATGACGAGCGCAAGCTATTGTGGTTGTCCTTCTAGAACCAGCAGTTCTACACTGTCGGTGTGCAAGTGCCCGGTAAGTCATTTTGCAGACAACGTTGTAATCTTAATTTTTTCTTGCGTACACTTATACAGGTCTCACGTCTCAGGGTCAAGTGCATGTTGCAAAAGATGAACAAGGCCGCGTGCGTGTTTCCACGGAGAAGGACGTGTTCCATCCCGAGAACATTGTGGTTCCTCGTTACGCCAACGTTGACGGTGCAATAGTCAATCTCCATGATGAGATTCTCACCATTCGTTTTCCCAAGGGAGCCGCTGCGCTCAAACGGACAGCTTCGACAGTGCCAATTGACGACCTCGACGAGACTGAGCTGAACAAGAGTATCGACCTTATGTTTTTGTTCTTTCTTCATCTACTAATAGTTTCCGGTTTTTCTCTCCAGAACCAACCCCTCAAGGCAACTTCTGCAGATGACGAGCATCACCACATTCTTCGTGTCGAAGTTCCAGGTATGTCCCTGAAGCCTTCCACGTTTCCTGAATAGCTTTTGCCGTGCAGGCTTGTCGCGAGAGAAGTGATTGTTGGACTGTGCAGGGCAGGAACTCATTGTTAATGCCAGCGGCAACGTTTTCAAGCAAAGGAAGTTTAAGCTTCCCTCCAGTGCTGACGTGAAGCAGGCTAGAGCGTCTTTCCTGAACGGCTTGCTTATCATTCGCGTTCCCAAGAGTGCAACGGAGCTAACTTTTCAGTAGCGCCTTTTATTTTATGGTGCCTGTTCTCTTGTCAAGAAAAAACAGAAAAAAGCGTTCCAATCTTATAGGTGTTCTTCACCCGTTTGATTGACGGCTTTTAAATAACGCTGATGCTCGCATTTTACTTTGTGATTGTTGTGGCAATCTTGGTTGTTGTTGATCAGAGTTTGGTTCCTGGTATGAATAGTTTTGCATTGCTTAAAATTCTTGCTGCTCCATACATCTCACGCGTGCGACACCTCCCTCCCACTCATGGCCAAGAACCAAGCCGGCATTTTCATCAAATTTGCAAAGCAACTGGGTCCAATTTACAGGCATTGGATTTATGATCTTTAGTCTCGGTTTTTATCAGGTAGAAAACCGATTGTCTTTGTAGCCTCCGCTAGGAGATTGGCGTCGCAAAATCCTGGACGTAAAATAAATCAGTGTAGAACCTTGTTGTTTTACTGCAGAGATAATCCCGATTATATCATTTTTTTAAAAAAAAAAAAGGAGAGAAAGAAAAGACATACTGATAAACGGACAGAAGCAAACAAAAAATACAAGCTACGATCGATCAAAAACTTTCGGCTCAAGACCCAGTACCGCACCGCATATCAGCCGAGGAGAGCAGGAAAACAAGACAATAAAGGAGAGGAGAAATGCAAATACTTACGCAACTCGCCACAAATTGACGAGGGCGACGATGGTGTTAAAATGGATGGCGCCCAGCGATGTCAGCACCGCGATCCAGCTCAAAACGCCGCCGCTCGTGAGCCGCGGCCGAAGAATTCATCCCAATCGCGCCCAAACAGAATTCTATCCGTGAGAAAGTTGTTAGCTGAAAGGTTTCGTCTATTCAAATTTTATTTCCAAAACATTTTATATATTAAGAAAGGGTAATTTACGGAGGCTTTTGAAATTTGAATAGACGAAGCCTTTCAGCTAACAAACAAGTAAGATGCTTTGAAAAATGCTACCCCGAGTCGTCCAAACATGGTTTCACATATATAAAAAGCTCCCCTTGGATAGACGGCCTGCAAATGGCGCTGATCATCGCAGTTTTCTTTGTGATTGTTGTGACAATCTTGATTTACTTGCAATGGCCCGCATGGAAGCTGTCGAAAATTCCTGCTGCTCCATACATCTCAGGTCTGGGACACCTCCCACTCATGGCCAAGTACCAAGCCGGCGTTTTCATCAAGCTTGCCAAGCAGCTGGGGCCAATTTACAGGTAAACAGATCTTGGATTTATGATCCAACTTAGCCTCAGTTCTCGGTTGCTATCAGGTTCCAGCTGGGCAGACAACCGATTGTCTTTGTAGCCTCAGCTGACCTCTGCCAGGAGATTGCCATACGGAAGTTCAAGGTGTTCCCAAACCGTGTCATCCTTCCTTACATGAAGGAGAGCTGGATCCACTTACACGGGCTGTTCATGACAAAGTAAGACTTTGCCTTGCAAATATTCGTAATACTAGTGTCCTTCTGAAGGGCTCCTGATTGGGCGAGGATGAGGAACATACTCCTCCCCACGTTCCACACGGAGAAGCTCTCTGCGTACGTGCCGCTCATGGAGCGAGTGATGGGCCAAGTGGTGGAGATCCTGGACAAGCACGCAAACGCCGGGGAGGATGTCAACATGACCCAGCTCCTCCAGAGGATGGCCCTGGACGTGATCGGGGAGAGCGCATTTGGCACCGGCTTCAAGCTCGTCAAGCCCTCTTGGGCTGATGGTCGCAGCGAGGACAAGGACATGGTGAATGCGGTACTCAATTCGCTCGATACGTTGACGATGAGCGAGAAGGCCCCGGTGAGCACCTTCGCGGGGCTCTTCTTTCCCTTCCTCCAGCACCCGATCCGCGAGATCATGAAGAGGATCCCGGGGACCGGCGACTGGAACCAGTACACGGGGAATCTGCTGCTCGAGGCCCAGATGAGGGCGCTGCTGGAGCGGAGGGAGGCCGAGATGCGGGACGGAGTTGTTAGGAGCGATGCGCTGTCGCTGCTGCTGGACGCGCGGGCCAAGAGCCAGGAGATGCGCGAGCTGTTGACCGACGAGCGGGTGCTGGCGCTGGCTTACGAGCTCATGATGGCCGGCTCGGAGTCAACTGGCACCAATCTCTGCTACACGCTCTACTTCATCGCCGCGCACCCCGAGGTGGCGTCAAAGATGGTCAAGGAGATTGACGAGCTCGCGCCACTGGGGTCAACGGTGGCCTTCGAGGACGTGGACAAGTTCAAGTACGTTGACCAGGTCAGTGCTCGCGAATCTTTCTCCCTCTTCAGAGTGTCAATGATCAACAGGTGATCAAAGAATCCATGAGGATGATCACGTTCTCCCCAGTTGTTGCTCGCGAGGCGATGGAGGATATCAAGGTGGTAGGCTACCACATTCCAAAGGTAACATCCCTCTCTCTTTCTTGTAGAGATAGCCAAACTTTCTTCTACCAGGGAACTTGGGTTTGGCTGGTGATCAATGCGCTCGCCCAAGACGAGGAGGATTTCCCGGAGCCGCATCTCTTCCGCCCGGAGCGCTTCGATCCCGACTGCGCCGAGGCCAAGAAGCGCCACCCGTACGCTCACTCCCCCTTTGGAATCGGGCCCCGGATGTGCATCGGCTACAAGTTGGCCTACCTGGAGATGAAGCTGGCCTTGATCCACTTCTACCAGCGCTACACGTTTGAGCACTCGCCGGCCATGGAGAACCCCCTGGCCGTCCGCCTGAGCATTGTCGTACGCCCCATCCACGGCGTGAAGCTCCGCGTACGGAAGCGCGGGATATGCTGAGAGCATCATTCCCGGGCACGAGCTCGTTTGCAAAGCTCGAATGTAACGTGTTCTTTGGCAATCTATGCGAGCACCGCGACGGCTACACGCGCGCCACGTGTTTACCGATACTTCCCACGTGGAGCGACCGCGGTGCGCAGAGATCTGCGGCTGCATTTGTGAGGCGTGGGGCCGCGAGATCTGTCACCTAGTGGCAGCATCGCAGCCCTAGGATTGGCAAATCGACGGTGGCGGGCGGGCATTTGGTGCTGCCAATGGGGGAGTGTGTGGGGAGCACTCGATTCATGGCGGCGGCCGCGGCTCACGCCAAGGGCGGCGATGGCGATGGCGATGGCGATGGCGGCGCCGGGAGCGATGCATGCAATTCGCTGCACAGGCGGGTGGATCCGCCGGCGAGCGGCGGCGTTTTGAGCTGGATCGCGGTGCTCATATGGCTGGGCGCCATCCATTTTAACACCATCGTCGGCCTCGTCGTTCTTGCCAATTTGCGGCGAGCCTGGGCCATTGCGTAAGCATTTGCATTTCTCCTCTTCTTTTTCGTTTTCCCGCTCTTCTCGGTTTATGGGCGCTCTTCTTTCTTGATCCAGGGTCATGGGCTTGTATTTGCTGCTCATGGTTCTTCCGGCCCATCACGAGAGCCCTTTGGGTCGCAAGGTCGCGACGTAAGTAGCGATTTTTATTTTTTTTTGATCGATCCTTGCTTACAAAAAGCTTGGATTTTTTTCTTTTTTTTTTGTTGCTTCGATCGTGTAGGTTTATCTGCAAGTATGCACCGAAGCATTTTCCTATCAGGCTCCATGTTGATGATATAAAATCCTTCGACTTGAGCAAGGCATATGGTATTCTCTCTCTCTATGTTTTTTTTTTTTGGAATGACAGATAAATGCTTGAACAGTGTTCGCGGTGGAGCCACACTCCATCCTCCCTATCGGGATTATCTCGCTCTGCCACTACACTGGCTACATGCCTTTTACGAAAATCCGAGCGTTGGCCAGCAGTGCTGTGCGTAAAAGCGTTTTGAATTTTTTGAAGATTTTTTCTAAGTTTGCGCTGATTTGTTTTGCCGTGACACGTCCAGGTGTTTGCAACTCCAATCCTGCGTCACATCTGGACGTGGCTTGGTCTCGTTCCTGCCTCGCGAAAAACCTTTGGCAAGCTTTTGAACGATGGCTACTCTTGTATTGTCGTGCCTGGAGGTGTCCAAGAGTGCCTCTACATGGAGCATGGACACGAGGTTTGTGCCACATCGTCATCTCCTTTTCATGACTGCTTTGGATTTCTCTTATCTGTTTTCCAGGTAGTTTTCTTGAAGAAAAGATTTGGATTTGTGCGGGTGGCCATCGAGACTGGTGCTCCATTAGTTCCGGTGTTTTGTTTCGGCCAGGTATGAAAGAACTTCTCAAAGATTTTTTTTCTTTCTAGCACCACCCGTCTTTTTTTCTTACAGACTGAAGCTTACAAGTGGTGGAAGCCGAAAGGAGAGCTCTACGCCAAGCTCTCAAGAGCTATCGGGTTTACCCCTCTCGTCTTCTGGGGAATGTATGGGTACGTTGATCTCTCTTTTCTTTTTTCTTGTAGCTTACTCGATGATCGTGCAGGAGTCCTGTTCCATGCCAGCAGGAGATGTACGTAGCTGTAGGCAATCCGATCGAGGTGACCAAAACCTCGCAGCCATCCAGAGAGGAGGTATGATCCACGAAGTTTGCATTTGTAGCACAACGGGAATGGAATGCAGGTGGCTAATGTTCTGGAGAAATTCATAGTCGCGCTTCAAGAGCTATTTGAAAAACACAAGGCGGCAGCAGGATACAAAGACACCATGCTTCACGTGTATTAGGCAGCGGCGGTGGAGAAGGGTTTGTATTTTGTTGCTCCTCCAATCTTGGAGCGTAATTTCGCATAATCTGCGCAGTGATCCTCGAGTTTCTAGAGTCCCACAAGCACTGCCGGAGTTACTCATGTATAAAGAAATTTTTCAGTGCCTGTTTGGACAAAAGCCTGTTCTGCTCTATTGGAGTCACGCCCATAAGCTTGTGATGACAACGAAGACGAGCAAAGCCAGAGCAAAGCAGCCGGCTACTAGAGTTCCAAACGCCTGCAAAGAAACCAAAAACGCAAGGTGGAGTTCTTAGAAATCCCAGAACAAAACGCACCTTTTCCCTCGATTCGAAGTGGAGCGTGCTTGTAAACCAGTTGAGACACTTGTCCACGAGCGGGGCCAGAGCCAGAGCGCTGGAATGGAAAGCAATTTAGATTTGAGAGCGACGCGAAACTTACGCTGCAGCACGCAAAAGTTTCGTCACTTGACTGCCTGCCCACACCATCGCAAAGAGCTTCACAAACCTGTGATACATGTAACAAAGCTCGAACTCTCGCGATCAAAACGAGTGGAAAGTACACACGGACAAACCTTTGAGCAGCAGCGGCATGGCCAAGGCCTCCTGGTGATGGAGCCACATAGAACCTGTGAAAAAATACCAGTTTTCATCGATCACTATCTGTAAGGTGTTGGCTATGGCGGCCAGGTGGTCGTTTACCAGAAGAAGAGAAACGTTCCTAGGTAGTACATGGTGTTGAAAACGCCGTAAGAAAGTATCCCAGCGGTTCCATATCTCCTCAGTTGGCTCTTGAGGCTGCGTTGTTAAGATGGAATGGAATCACTCACTTTCAACAGAAGCACCGATCGAATGGACGTTGGCCTACTCGTCATTTCGTGAGAGGATTGATGCTAGCAAGCTCTTGGGCGATCCAAAATTCTCACCTCCGCCTGGCAACTAGGTAGAGCGTGAAGTTTTAGAGAAGAAACATGGAGAAGAAGAAACCTGGTTTTCTTGGACGTGTGTGCTGGGAGGAACATCCGGCTGCTCACTCGCAGCACTCAACCCACGAATCCGGAAGCGCTGGCGTGAGAGCACACGCGTTTTCTCCTGTGGAAGAAGAGGACCAACATTGCGAGCAGGCACAAACGAGACCGCCATGCTGGCGCAGGCCTCAAGCGCCATAGATAACCTAGACAAAGAATCCCTTTTACGTAGAATGATCAAGGCGATCGATGATTTTGTTAGGCTTTCTTGTTTCTCGCGACTTCGAAGTAACACCTTCTGAAAAGAGCCTCTTGCAACACCACGGTTCTTCGTATCCCTTTCCAGAAAACAAAAGCGAGAGATCGTTTGATCTCATGACGTAGTTCCTCTAGCAGTTAGCGAGCATGTTGGCGAGCAACACGTATGGAGCTCGATTATGTGGTTTCGGCTCGAGCACAAGGCCAGCTCCTGCGGCATGGCCACCGTGGCTTACACAGGCACCGACTAGATTCATCCCCGTAGAGCTGTCCGGCTCAAACGGCCTCACCTCAACCAGCTCCTCGGCCTCTTCCAATCGCCCTTGTCCAGCGTCGCTTGCATGCCAAAGTCCTCAGGGATCCGGCCGAGGAACTCCAAGCCGCCGTCGAGCAGGCCTACGTGACTGTAAGCGCAGCTGGTGAGCGTCACGCTGTCTGGATGCACTATCTGTAGCACCATCTCGGGAAGAAGCTCGAGGAAGACTTTGTTGCCGTGGCCGTGGTGAGAGTGGCCGCCACCAATGCGTTCCAGGAGACCACGTCTCGCTCCTCCATGCTGTCAAACACATGAGCTTCGTCCATGCAAGAGCAATAGGTACTATATGTTCACGAGCGCGGTTGCTAGGATTTAGCTCGAGCTTCGTATTGGAGAGAATGCTCGAGTGGAGAATCCTGCCCTGGGGAAGAGCCGAGAGAGTAGCACACGCGTCCAACGCGCTCACAAAAGTCGCGGCGTCCTTCCAAGTCCATGAGCCAGAAGAGCTCCAGCGACGCTCTCGCTTGACCGCTGTGAGCATAGGCGGCGATCAATGCACTGCACGCTGCAATATCTCTTTCAGGCGTTCTCTGGAATAAGTTCCTCACCTCGTCTTGGAACTCGGGCTTCGAAGCGAACTTGGCCGCCAGCGACGTCCAGGAGATGACGTCGTGCTGCGGCATTTGAGCGAAGAGCTTGCGAGCTCTATCCAGACCAGCAGCGCTTGGAGAATCGAGTTCCACGACACGATGTTACGCTGCGTCATCTCCCGGAAGAACACTTGGACGGCACGCACGGCATCACCATTCCTGGAATATCCCAACACCATGGTAGTCCAAGTCACGACGTTGTACTGTGGCATCCTTTCTAGTAACGTAGCCGCGGCCTTCATTTCTCCAGCCCTCGTGTGAGACAGCGCCAGAAAAGTTACTTTGGAATCGTTTTGAGCGAGCGCTTCGATCAAGAAGTTGGAAGCCGTGACAACTGTGTTGAGGCATCCTATACGCCGAAGGAAAAGCCACCTATCTGTTGAGCGTCCCAAGAAACGCAATTCTTCTCTGGCATCTTCGAACGCATCCTTCACATCTTGCACCATCCCATTTGCCGCAAGTGCCGAAAGAAAAGCTGTCAGTGATCATATCTCAGCGACTCTCAAAAACTTTCTTTGCTCTGTTGGGAATCCCAGCCTGACAGAAAGCCTGGATCATCGCGGTTACGCTAACGGAACAGTGCCGAGGCATTCTCTCGTAAACGGCTGCTGCATCGCCGACATGACCAGCTCGGGCATACGCTTGGATGGCAGCGGCCCGAGCGAAAGAATCCTTCTCAAGTTCCCAAGAAGGTCGCGAACCGTTCCAAGTGTTGAATCCAAGTCACCGTCTTGAGAGTAGCCCTTGAGAATCGAGTTCCAGGAGACGAGCGTTCTAGTGGGCTGCCTGTAGAGCACCACCGCCGCTTCAAACACATGCCCGTTTTGGGCATAAGCCGTGACGAGAGCGTTCCAGCCACATCAAACAGTAACTTTGCTCCCTCGACGTGACTGGCGGAACAGTAGACAGCAATAATAGTGGTCCAAGATACTACGTTCTTCTCCGGCATTGCATCAAACACTTGCCACGCATCGGGGATATGCCCGTTCTGGGCAAATGCCGCGACCATGATGTTTCCAGAGAAAACGCTGTCGGGAGTGGAGAGCATCAAACACGGCCGGGGCCTCCTCGATTTCGCAGCAGCCGCCGTACATCTGCACCAGAAGACTGGCAGGGGGAAGGTTTCGATCGTACCCTTGGGCTCCAGAGTCTGGGCTTGTCGGTTTGGAGGTGCCTGGAGAGGATGCGAGCGCGCAGACGCCGGACCCATCCCGTGACCACCACCATCCACAGCACATCTTTGCGTGACTTGATCAACTTGTGGCGAGAAAAGAGGGGATGGGAAGCTTTGCTCCAAGTTGCCCCGAACTGACTGCTGCGATGCGAGGGAGGAAGAAAGTACAAAGTCAACACCAAATTGCGTTGGCGGATGATGCCCTCCAGGGAATACCTGTCATCCACTAGGTATCGGAATGATAGTGTTCTTCTACGCTCGTGTGTGCACTCACTTAAAGGCAAAGGGGGGACGAAGCTAGAAACGAAGAAGCGAAATGAGCTCTTCTTTCTCAGTGGTGTCAAAAAAAAATGGGTGTGATGTGATTCACCCATTCCCCTCGATCGATCGGTTGTCATCGCCTTTCCAGAATACTTGATGCCGGAATCTCGCAGTATCCGTAGATCCAATCGCCAAAATCCCGTCCCATCGCGGACAGCTTGTAGTGGAGGACTCAGAGCTCCCCCAACTTGCAGTGACGTTGCGCGCGTTGACATCACCACACCCACGCACACCGTTGACCACAGGCTTTGACTAGAGTGGACTGAGGGAGATTTGAGGCTATAGGCAAGGCGACCACGTCGGCACTCGGTCGGCCTGTCTGAGCGGCGATGATGACGAGAGCGTAAGCTCTAGACAGTGGCCGGGCTTGTTTTTGCTTAGCTCCAGCCGACCAAATCGCCACCCCAAATCCGGCCTTTTGTTTAATCCAGTCCACGGCCGGAGTGCCGAGGAATATACCGCGCTGCACCAATTTGTCCACTAGGCAGGGTATATGCCGCCACTGTGCGTTCTTCCTCAAGAACACAGTCTTGAGCTACATGATGATCGAAGGAGAGAGCGTCGCGGAGAATAGAATTCACATTTGTAATTGCCATTTGCAAACCCGAGGAGGAGGAGGAGGAGGAGGAGCTAGATTTGATCTAGCTCGATCGACTGACATACTGATCAGTGATTTGATTACTATATGCTTGCTTATTCTCTTCTGTTTTTTTGTTCTGCTTGATGGCCTCTTACTCTTTTCTTTGTACAGACTGCTGCTAAGCTCTATTTAATGTGGTGCTTGATCGAGCCTGTGAAGAAATCGTTTTGTTCTGGGCCGTGATCTCAAGGATTGTGACCGTGGCTGCGAGGAGGGTGAATCGCGGCCGGTGTGTAATCTATGTGGAACAGGTCCTCGGTGTTGTCGTGCTTGGACGAGCTCTTGGTGGATGAGCTCGTGCTTGGTACTGCTGATCCAGCGGCGTCTCTTTCCTTCACAGTTCTGGCAACCTTTGCTTGAGCTTCCGGTGCTGCTTGCGACTTGCTCGTCGCCGGGTGATCTGCAAACTGCGCTGGAGAATCTAGCATCTGCAAGCAAGAATGAATCATATGAGAGAAAAGCCCAGTGTGATCAAACATTGTATTGAAAGCACCTTCCGAGACCAACGGATTTTGGGACGAGAAGCAAGCTGGTGCGCCAGCTGATGATCCAGTGCGGTATCTATATCTGCGACATTGCGGTCGCCATCTAAGAAAGATCAAGTACCAAGTGGATGCAAATCATAGAAATATATATCGCGAAATCAAGCTAAACAAACCTCTTGTTTGCTCCTTCTTGGTAGTGGTATCACCCTCGCAAACAGCCCCGCCAGGGAGCAGGAGTAGAACAAAGGCCGCTGCGGCAAGCACCGCGAGCATCCACAAGCTTGCCATTCTCGAGAATCTCTTTCTTGGAAGAAGAGGGTCTTTGTGTGGAGATGGTGGAGAGAGCGCAAGAGCGAGAGCGAGCGAACGGCGAAGTGCGGTGTGAGGAACCGGGTTGCTGCCTGGATCGAAAGCACTTATATATACTACATGATATGATACTATATAACAATACATAATACTATTATATCGTGTATATGATATCACTGTGATCACTGTGTCACGTTGTGTGTGAGTGTCCCACAGCACCAAGCGAAGCGCTTCTTTTACCACCGTGTTTCCGCAAAGGTGTGCAAGGATTTCTCGACAAGCTCCCCCACTGTGGAAAAGAAAAGAAAAGCACACCTTAAAAAACCACCAGCGAGCCACCATGAATGATCCATCCCCCAGAAGAGAAAGAACAGTGCTTCCATCCAGAGTAGTGCTAAAAGAGAGAGTGAGAGAAAGAGAGATGGGGACTTTGTGTTGTCGCGAAACTCTGGAGAGACTCTTGCAACAATAAACAATTGCCCCAAGTTACTGCTTGGCTCTCCCAAAGACACTTTTCTTTTTTTTTTTGTTTCTTTTTTTCGTGCCGTGTGCAGCGTCCGCCGGAATCATCGTGTCTCGCTTTGATTGGTTACCAAGTTGCTTTCGCAGCCGGGAGAGTTTCCGGGGATCTTTTGGGCGATTTAAACTTTTTGACCAAGGGGAGAAGTTTCGATAGCTATGGATGTGGTTGCATCGAAATGGACCCCGGGGTGTATCAATTATCGGCTGTTCCAAAGTCAAAAGATAATTACGGAATGTTTAAGACGTTAAACTCTATAGCTAGCAACAAGTTGCGCGAATCTACAAAGAAAAAGACTTTGTTTTCGCGAGGCTGATTTCGTCGATCAGTGGAGAAAATCATCCAACGGGATGTCGACAAGCTTGACCATTTGTTGGCGACGAACACCTTCGCGTGTTTTCTAGCCTTTGAAAAACCTGGGCCTTCCGGAAAAAGCGAGACAATCCGTACGCCACCCTTGAAATACTTGCGCACACTCTTTTTTCTGTGGAAACATTTGATTCGCTTTAGCGATTAGACGATTGAATTGTCCCCCCCGCTTTAAACTCTGGTTTGTGGGTCGGGGCTCCGTTCTCGAATCCCGTGGAGATCGATCGAGCACCGTGTCTGTGCCGGCAAATCGCTCCACAGTGCGAGAAATCGAGTATCATATTCATTGACAACAATGTTCACATCTTCGCGCCACGACGTGGACGCAAGATCGCGGAGTGCTCGCGCCAATCAGCTCTGGCGCTGGGATAAACAAGGGCTTGGAATGTGGCGATTCGCCAGTGGGTGGGCGATGAGATTTGGATCTATTCTATTTTCCAAGTGATGCATTGATGTCAGAAGTCTCACATCAATGGAATCCTTATAAACTCTAAAAGGGATCCGGACGATTCCAAGAGATTTTTGTGGATCCAGCAAAAGATCGGAAGGTTGACGCTAATAATAGGTTTGAGCGGAATAAAGATATTCTCGTCATTTAGGGCTCGTATATCTTTTGTACGGAAAGGTTATATGGTACGGAAGGTTTAGGGTTTTAAGGGAGGAGGGAGGGAAAATGCAGCGCCTCCCACAGCGGTGGCGCGCGCTCCGGTCGAGAGGCTTTTGCTCGAATGCTGATGCGCCTGCTGCTGCGCCAGCCGACGAGAAGCCTGGCGCCTGGAAATGGGGAATCCGGAAGCGAATGTGGGATTTGATCGAGAAAAAGGGCATTGCTTTGATGCCGAGGCCGGTGCACAACACAATTCCGAATTTCCGTGGAGCCGGCAAGGCAGCCGACAAGGTGAGAGTAGTAGCTAGTAGTAGTAGCAGCTCAGAGATTTCATTCTCTTTTTCTTTTGTCTCTTAGGTGCTGCTTCTGCCCGAATATCGAGGGGCCCAGTTCGTGAGCGTGTGCCCGGATGCGCCGCAGAGACAAGTGAGATTCATAACACTCAGGCGTAAATCTCGACAGACAAATTTTCTTCTCTTTGTTGTGATGGGAGTTTCTCTTGGTTTCCAGATATGAAAGTGCTGCTTGTTCCTCCACCGGGGCTAAAGAAGGGCTTCTACGCGGTTGTGAGCCCGACGTACTTGTCCTTCTACAAGATGAGGGAGACCTCGGCACGCATTGGTACGCCAGTGTTTCTCAGACGATGTGAGTGAGATTTATTTCCAGCAGAGTCGTGCAGAGGGTGAGTTGCTGGGGAAAGAGCTGGGGCTTGAGTCGGATTTCAGGGTCGACATTCTTGTCATCGGCTCGGTTGCGGTGGATCCAGGCACTGGTGCTCGCGTTGGCGTTGGCCATGTAAGAATCTCATTTTTGCTTGTAGCGAGGTGTGGATGATTTTCATTTCAGGGAACTGAGGAGCTGGCGTACGCGCTGCTTCGTCACAAGAAAATTATAGACGAGTCCACACTTGTCGTGACTACAGGTATGTCGACGAATGATGGTAATGGATAACTCTTAAGTTTTTCGTTGTAGTCCACGATAAACAGCTCGTGAATGACATCCCCGTGGACAAGCTGCTCCCTTACGACCTTCCAGTCGATATAGTTTGCACACCAAATTACATCTATCACACGAACACCAAAATTCCAAAACCAACCGGTAAGTCTTGTAAATCCTTTACAAGGCTCCATTGTTTTCTCTCATCTTCTTCTCTTGCCAGGAATTTACTGGGACGTGCTTCTACCTGACAAATACCTCCGCGTAAACGTCTTGCGGGAGCTGAGGGAGAAGATCGGACAAGAAACTGGAGAGAAGCCGAAACTAGCGCCTACGGGAAGGCAAGTCCGTCAAGGTGGCAAAGCAGACGGGCCTTCCATCTCCATCACCGAGCTCAATCCCAGCATCACCGAGAAGGAGCTCGAGCAGCACCTACAAGGCATGGGGTTACGAGTCGACAGCGTGACTGTCTACCAGACCGCCTCAAAGAAAGCGTCCGCCAGGATAGTGATACCCGAGGACCTCAGTGCCGAGAAGTATGCTGCTGCTATCGACAAGACCGAGCTCCATGGTTGGGTCATGCAAGCCAAGCCGACTCCTCCGAAAGCCAAGCGTGAAAAAAAGGTGTCGGACTGAAAGTCACAGGGCTATGGATCAACTTAAAGCTCTTGATCACGAAGTCACGAGCTATGATACCTGATACTGCTCCGCAAGCCATGGTCCACGAGTTTTCAGCTCAGCACCAGGACTCCATCAAGCTGCTAAGATCGTGTAGCAGTCTATCTCAGGCCAGGCGTCTTCATGCCTCTATCAAGCTCCAGGAAGAGAGAAATGATGCTGGATCACATTCCTACCTCTCCAATTTGCTCGTTCAAGCGTATGGGAGATGCGGCAGCGCTGCTGAGGCTCGATCGGTGTTTGACGCCATCGCCCACAAGGACAGCTTCTCCTGGAACATGATGCTCTCGGCATATGCCCGAAACGGGCATCTCCAGGACGCTCGAATGTTGTTTTCCGTAATGCCCGTGAAAGACACGGTCTCGTGGAACACCATTCTTACGCTATATGCGAACGAGGGTCTCATCAAACAAGCCGAGGATGCGTTCTTAAAGATGCCGTCCAGGAGCCGCGTCTCGTGGAATGCCATGATCGCAGCATATGCCGAGACTGGGAATATTTCTGGCGCGAAACGCGTGTTTGATCTTATGCCCGACTCCGATTTCGTGGCCTGGACGACAATGCTGGTGGCTTACGCACAGCATGGGTATTTGCGTGACGCCGAGTCTCTGTTTGCGACTATGGCGGATCACGACGTGGTGGCTTGCACAGCGATGCTCGCGGCATATGCCCAGAATGGAGACGTTGGTCGAGCGAAGTCCATGTTTGATTCCATGCCGGATCCAAACCTGAGATCGTGGAACGCGATGCTAGCCGCCTATGGGCAAAATGGTTGCTGGAGAGAGGCCAAGTTGCTGTTTGATACGATGAGCTTCTGGGATGTGGTGTCATGGAACACCTTGCTCACAGCTCTCGCTCACTACCAGCTCGAAACTGCCAAGGCGTTGTTTGACAAGATGCCTGAAAGAAGCATGGTCTCGTGGAATCTGATCCTTGCAGCGTATGCCCAATCAGGGCATCTGGATGGAGCTATCAAGTTCGCCAAAACCATGCCAGAGCTCAATCTCGTGTCATGGAACACACTCTTGGAGATGCTTTGCGCAAACAATCGGGTTGACGAAGCTAAGATCTTGTTCGATGGCATGCTCCAGCGAGATCTTGTCTCGTGGACAACGATGCTCACAGCATATGCCCAGAAAGGGGATATTCTTCAAGCCAAGCTCTTGTTTGAGAGATTCCCTGAACGGGACCTCGTGTGCTGGAATGCCATGCTGGACATGTACGTACGATACGGCACGCTCGAGGAGACTAAACGCGAGTTCGATTCCATGCCCGAGCTTGACGTGGTGTCGTGCACCGCGCTCGTGGTGGCATATTCCCAGTGGGGGCACGTGGAGGAGGCCAAGAGGACGTTTGATACCGTGGTTGCTCGCCCGGACGTGGTGTGCTGTAATGCCATGGCGGCGGCGCTAGCGAACGCAGGACACGTGGAACGCGCCAAGTGCCTGTTTGATAGCATGGCTTCGCACAACACCGACACGTGGAACGCCTTGCTGACGGGGTACGTCCAGTCAGCACGTTTCGCCGACGCGGAGTATCTCTTCTCGGCTATGCCGGACAGGAACACCGGCTCCTGGAACCTCATGCTCGCGGCGCTCGTCGGCGCTGGCAGGCTGGATCGAGCTAGAGAGCTCTGGGATTTAATGCCGGATCACGTCAGCCTCTATTCGAGCACGCTCATGATCTCGGCCTACGCGCAGAGCGGCCACGCCGATCGCGCGCTCGCCATCTTCCAGTCCACGCCGGAGGCCCCCGACGCCATTGCCTGGAACGTGATCCTCGCGATGCAAGCGCAGGCCAGGCACCAGAGTGATGATCTCTTCGAGAGTTATGGCGGGATGTTGATCCATGGCGTGGCGCCGGACGAATCGTCGCTGGCGTGCGTTCTCCACGGCTGCAACCACGCGGGCGACGTGAGGATCGGGCGCTCGCGCTTCGGTTCCATTGGCTACGACTTTGGGCTTGGATTGACGAAGCAGCACTATGGATGTATGATCGATCTTCTCTGCCGCGCGGGACATCTGCGCGACGCCGAGGATCTCGTCGCGAGCATGCCCTTCGTCCCGGATGCTCCCAACTGGACGAGCGTCATCGGTGCCAGCGCCACCCGGCGGCTGCCAGAGCTGGTGTTGGAGAGAGCACTCGCGGATTCCTCCCAGAGTGGTGGGCTTCACTCGGTGCTAGCCAACGCGCTGTCGAGCGCTCCATCGATGGCAGCACGATGATCCAATCCATCCATCCATCTCTCCATCTAGTCGAAAGTTCCTGGCGAAGAACACAGCGTTTTGATGATCCGGGTGACGATCTTCTTCTGGACGTGAGTGCCATTGACGGTGGAGAAGGCCGGATGGATCGCCACCGCCGCCCCGGGGCTGCTACACTCCCTGAGAGCTTCGATGAGTGGCTTGCGACTGTCACTCCCCGCCGAGGCATCGAACAATTTGATGTGGTGATCGCGCTCGGCCTGGACGTGCTCCAGGGACTGGACAACTTGATCCATGCTGGGCCGCGCCGCCGGGTCCCTTTGCAAACACTGCGCCGCCAGCTTTGCAAAGAGCGACACGGATCTCGCCGGGAACATCCCCTTGAGCTCCGGATCCACGACCAGGAAGAGCTTCTTGTCGTTGGCTAGATACGGCGCCGTCCAGCCGACCAGGTCCTGCTCCTCCACCGCGAACATCTCGTCCCGGTTCTGGCGGCCGGTGAGGATCTCCAGCAGCACCACTCCGAAACTCCACACGTTGCTCTTGGGCGATGGTAGCGACTGCGTTCCTCGTTGGAGAAGCTCGGGCGCCGCGTAGGCCGCCACCTTCAAGCACAAAGAGCAACATCTTGTCAAGATCTTCTCTTCCAAACTTTCGATCTCACCATGAGCGAGCTCGGATTCATAAACCTCTGCGTGAATCCATAGCCCATGAGTCGTGCTCGCAGCTCCTTGTCGACGTGCACGTTGAAAGTTCTAAAGTCCTTGTACATGAGCTGGAAGAAGATCACGCACAAACAAGCTTTTAGCTATGGTGGAGGGTGACGAGCAACAACGAACGCGAGAGCACTTTGGACGTAGCCAGCTTTCGGACGTACCTTTGTGGGCGATCGCTCGTGAAGAAACGCGAGCCCCCGCGCGGCATCGGTGGCGATCCTCACCCGCGTCGCCCAGTCGAGCGGCGGCCGATCGCGGCTCCGGCCATACAAGAGCCTGTCCAAGCTCCCGTTGGCCTGGATCTCGTAAACCACCAGCTTCTCGTCGGTGGTGAAGCTGAATCCCAGGATCCGGCTGAGGTGCGCGTCGCGCAGGCACACAATCTCCTTGACGTGCTCGATCCAAGCCTTGGAATCCTATCAAACGGCGCTTTGAGCTATGGAAGCCAAGCTATGGCGTGGTTCTTACCTGCATTGTCGTGTCCGATAGCCGGACGAGCACCGCTTGCGTGGAGTCCTTGCTGCTACCGCCGCCGCGGGGATTGGCATCGATCGAGACGGTGCAAGTGAAAGCCGGGCCATTGCCGGACTCGCCAATGCACGAGGTCTCGGGGCAAAAGGTGATGTGCGCGGCGGCCAGCCTCTCGTGGGCTACTGGCGGTGGCCTTGGCAGTGGCATGGATGCCGATTTCTTGAACTCTTTGCCGGGGCGATAGTGATCACTGGCAGCGGTGGAATCCCTGGTCACCGCCGGGGAGCCCATGAATCTCGATGGTTCTGGCGAGAGGCCGCAAGACTCTGGCGTGGGCAGCGGCAGTGGCTGGCCCCGGAAGACGATGGGATCCCTCCTCACGCCGCTCAAGCTCGCGTATCCACTGGGGCCTGAGTGGGTGACGAGGGGCGACGAGGAGCCATCTTCCAACCTGGTGGAGATCTTGGGCACGGCGATGGCGGTGGGCTTTGATCTTGGGTTCCTGGCGATGGCGCTGGGAGATGGCGATGGCGAAGGCGATGGCGATGGGTGAGCCAGTGGTGGCGGCGGCGGGATTGGGTCGTCATCCGTGACCAGGAATGTGGGTGGAGCCGACATGGTTCGCATCATCTTGGCGGAGGCGTCCTGCCCCGCCAGTGATGCCTTCTTGTGCCGCGATTTCTTGTGGGCGAAGCACCGCATTCCTCTTCTTCTTCCTCTTCCTCCCCTCTAGAATCTCTCCTAGCATCAAAAATCCCTTCCTTACCCCGATGGTATCGTCCAAATGCTGCTATGGAATGGATCTCTCTCTCGCTTTTCCTTGGAATCCAAAGAGAGGATCGGTTGGCCGTCCCAGTGAGAGATCTTCACTAGCTTAAAAGCGCCATCGTGTGAGTGTGGGCAACGGCCACGATGATCCCCGTATGGACGGCTAGCACGCGTTATGCCTGACGAATATGCTTAACCATTAACGGCCGGGATTTTCTCTCTCTCCCCTCGCCAGGGAAAATATCTTTCTCCATGGGCTCGAGCGCTCATCATGGAGATCTCGATGCTTTGATGCCTATCTAAACAGAGCTTAAAAATTCTCGCTCAGAAGAAGAGGACGAGTTGTTCGACAGTGAAATCTCGACGAATTGAATGGTTTGGGATCGAAATAAGTCCACAGTGGGAACCATCGATCGAAGAGGGCCTGCTGCTCTCCAACCGCAAGGAACACGAATCCCCAGTGCCCAGTCGATCGTTTTGTCCATTGTCGTGTGTGTCTCCCGAAAAAACGCTACGAGTCGAATTGATCTGTGATCCTTTTTGGGCCTCTTCTAAAATTCCAAGAACTGTGCACTCTATTCATGGAGATAGTATAGTTTTACCAGAGTTGACTCATACAGACTGTAAAGTCAAAGGGTGTCGATTTCGAGCAATCAAGACCTGGAAGTACGTATTTTATAATTCCTGGGTACGATACTTATACATTCTTGTCATCTCATCTATCGGTTGATACTTCACATTGTAACTACATAACTGGCTATCCTGGAGGTTTTGCCTCCTTGCACACACACACACACAAAACGTAGAATTTGCTCGTCAGCGTGATGTAAGATCAGATCAATGCAGAGCGTGGGAGCGATCGATGCAACGTTCCAACGCAGACTATAAGCATCCAAACTCCGAGAAAGAAGAAGACGAACTCGTTTCCTAGAAAAGAGAGAGAGAGAGAGAGCGAGAGAGAAATCAATCGCGGAGATCTTTACGGAGGACTAGAATGGCTTTTTACCTGGAAGAAAGTGAGCGTGCAGCCTCTTTCTCGACCAAGCAAACCTGCAAAGAGATAAAGCTTGATTGGATTAAAAAAGCGAGAGAGATGGGGAGAAGCACTGGATCCGGATCGAGAAACCACCGAAACATGTCACTATAAATCGATGGATGGAGCAACTTACACTGTGCCTCCAGCTGTCGGCCCAATGGCTTTGAAAAGCGACAAGAGGCTGAGCGAAAATCCATTCGCTGTTCCACGCTCCTCTTGCCTCTGTGACAAAAAGCCGCCCCACGATTTTGACGGATCAACACTTTGGTCTGTAAGAAACAAAGCTGCTTACCACTGAGACGTTGACGAGGATGGCCAGGCCTGTCGCTGTTGCTTCCTGGGAGATGGAAACTCCGGGTGAAACAACTGAAACGAGGAGAGTCTCGAGAGCTTACCATGAAAATGTACTTAAGAGTTGACACTGTCAAGATCACGAACCAGAGCCAGGCTCCAGTGAGCTCGTACATAAACGGATAGATGACGAGAAGTGGCAGCGTAAGTCCCTGCCAGAATGAGTTTGAGTTTCACATTTCAGCAGCGCGATCGCAAGAATCCATAGAACTTACGGATGCTATCCGAGTGACCATTGCTGGTCCGAGGCGCCGGGTGACCACAGGGAAGAAGCTTAGCTGACAGATCAGCATGACAAGAGCTGCAACATCCACATTAAGACTCGTCCACGAGAAAAGTTAACGGTTTGATACTCACCAGCGACTGTGAGAACCCTTCCGGCATCGGAGCTCGTGAAAGACAGTCCTCCCGTACTCTTGGAGCTCAAAGCCCAAAGGGAGAAAACCTGTAAAGGAGAGAGCAAGAGATTAGAAAAAGTTGGAGCATACTTTGTTTACCTCTAAGAAAGCAATGTCGTGAAGTGAAGCAAAGCAAAAAAGAGCGATGGAGACGATGAGCGCCTTGTTCTGGAAAATGGATCGCTTCTCGCAGTCATCGCTGATTACCCCGCTCTCGATCTCAGGGGTGTTGGCAACTTCCTTGGCATGGATGTGCAAAGTCTCCTGTAAAAAGAAGAAATTTTTGGAGAACTTGCCAATAGTAGTCTTGACTTACTGGTAGAAAGTGGCAAGCGACGAGCACAAGCAGCGCAAACACTGTAACACACAGTGGCGGAAGAAGGTACGGGTACCTGCGGAGAAGATCGCACGGCCATGAGAATCTCGATCGATTGGAATCGCGGAAAGGAAGGAAAAGAGATTCTTCATTCCTTCAACTTGAGAGAGGAGACTACATACCGGTCGAATAAAGAGCCTTGGAACAATTCCGGATACTTGAGAGCTGGCTGTAAATCACGGCATTGACATGGTTTTTCTCAATGACGATATGATAAAAGTTTTCGCTAGATATCATTGCTTGCCTCGGCTAAGAAGCCGCCGATTGCCGGTCCAAGGACGAGTCCGAATCCCCAAGCAGTGCTAACCTGTAGGATCGAAACGAATGAGGAATTTCCCAAGATCCAACGTTTTGCTATCGAGCAAGACCGACTTTTAAAGTTCTACGAGTTCTACTAACTACAAGATGGTTTGCTTGTGAATCTTACCACAGCCAGTCCCAAGCTCCGATACTTTTTGTTGCAAATTTCGGTTGCGAAGGTTTGAATTGTTCCAAACAAGCCATTCAGGCTTCCCAGGCAGAACCTGGTGACCACCGCCATCCAGAGCGAGGTGCTAAAGCCGAAGAGCGTGTTGAAGATGATCCTGGAGGAAGAAAGAACTTTAGACAAGCTGGAAAGAAAGAGATGATGTGACGAACACTGAGATGATTCCGCAGAACATGACGGGCTTGCGACCATATCGATCCGCTGCCACTCCCCACAGCAAGCCGGTGAAAAATCTCCCAATCATGAAGGATGAGCCTGAAAGTTTCCAACGTGAGATTATGAGAAAGCAGGGATCGTCATTGTCGTGAAACAGATCAGGAGCAGCGAATTCAATCCTCTCACCAATGAATCCTGCGTAGTAGCCGATGTCGCTCTCCGAGTCTGCGACATTAAAGTCCCGGACCTGCGGAAGAAAAAACTTTAGACTTGCTCGAAGAAGAAAAGCCGTGAACTTCGGAAGATCGGGAGTTTACCAGCAGATAGAGATAAGGGAACAAGATGGTGATTGGCAAAGCTGGAAAACAGAGATGGTTAGAGCAGTTCTTCGCAAATTGGTGAATCAACAAACTCACCATTGCAAAGCATGATGAATCCGATGAGAACCAGATACTTGATCGGCGGCCCGTCCTCCTCGTGCGGCATGCATTTGCAACCAGGGCATTCTCGGCTCGATTTGAGCAGCAAAGGCTCCTTGATGAGATCTTCACTGGGAGTAGTCATCGCTCTGAACAATCTTTGCTCACAAACTCTTCTCTTTGTTCGCTATCTTCTACTTCTTTTTTCTACGCTTTCCTTGCTTCACGCTTTTGGAAAGTCAAGTCAGATGATCTCTTGGGACTCTATCTCGAGGCGCGCTGGAGAGCTCTCCCCTCTTTGTCACTTCTCTCTCTCTCCTTTCTTCTATCCTCCTTTGTTTTCTTCGGAGAATGTTGGAGCCTCTGATGTTGGGTGTTTGTATGAAGCGAGACGAGACCCGGGAAATGCGCTAGCAGTGATCTTGTGGTGGTGGTGGTGGTGGTGGTGAACAAAGTTGGAGCAGCGTCAGATTTCATGAAGCACTGAAAGGTGCTGTAGGCCAGCCCTCTCATCAATTCCTTTTGTACCATGCTGCTCAATCATACAGGCAAAAGACCTTCGCCCTGTGGTATCACACTGGGTGTTGTTACCAGGAGAAGGAGACGATGTGTGATCACTGACCGGGTGAAAACGAAGAAAAGGGAAAAGCAAAGGAAAAAAAACTGGACATGGATGGCTGGATTCCTCTACAACTTGCTGACCCTGTTGGGTGATTGATGGCTGATGGATTGTACGTCAAGGTCAAAAAATCTTCTTACGAGCGAAAGATAAAGGGCAGAGTCGATCCAGCGAGAACCCACGAGCAGTGCAGGCCTGGCCGTGCTCCTCCAACTTGAGACCACCCACATTTACAACTGAACAGACCTTTTAAGAGAGTGTGTTCTTCGGCCTCCACTCATAAGGACTCCTGTTCTCTCCATCTTGGGTTGTTTTTCATCCGGATTCTTTTGCAGGAGCCCATTCCTCGCCAGCGAATCTGTGCCGACAGGCAGCAAACCACACGCGCATTGCGGAGATGAGATCGCCCACATGAAAAGAAGAAACATGTATCGTATCGATCTATATAGCAGCTCTACATGATCCAGCTATATAGAGAGAGTTATTGCCAAGGACTTGGATACGATTGATTTGTTTTGTATCTTTCTCGCCTTGTCTAGCGTGTGTGCCTGTGTGTTTGGTGGGGTGTTTGTAAGGAGAGCAGTGTCAGAATCAAGAACCATAGAAAAACAAGTAAGAAATTTTCTTTTGATCTAGCTATCGGTCTGGCTTTGTGACAAAAGCGCAGGCTATTTCTAAAACTCGAGATGGATGCCATTCCTCGAATTAGGAAGCCCAGGCCGAGAGTACACGCCAGAGGGTCTCTGACTCGATCGATAGATCCATGAAATGCTTCTTTGGATCGTATATATGATGTTTGACAAGGTTCTGCCACCTTTATTACAATTCATTTGCCATGGAATTTGAGGATTGGACATCTACTCTAGATTCTGCTCGAGCAGAAAACTCGATCTGAAATGCCCGGCATTGCAGCAAATCTCGAGCCTTCAAAGCCTTGCACATTGAAATTTCCCGATCAAGCCGATGTAACAGTCACCCTGGGAAGGAGAGAATCATCTCAGCTTGCTCCATCACGTACGTGAAGACAAGCTTTGTAGCACGCTCATATAGAACAAACACGGCTCACATTTCCATAACAAGAGTGTGATCTGATGCTTCCGAGATTCTCGTGGACTTAGTGTGTGGTTTTTCTACGCAACTGCAAGCAAACAAGGGCTATGCGATATTATTACAATGCGGTGGCCAGTCGAGTCAACCACGTTTCACTTTGGACGTAAACGCTCCAGCCACGTCGACAGAATAATCAAGGCCAAGCATCTCCTTTCCAGCGAGAAGCTCAGAGAGAGGAGCATTGTCGCAATCGTAGAGCTGTGTCGCGCGCCACTGGCGTCTAGGGTTTTGCGCGATCCCCGAGCCATATGGAGGAGCCGCTGCTAGGACGCGATCGTCAACAGCCGGAGCTCGAGTTCCCGGATTGTCCCGGCTGCCAGATATGGCGGCTCCGCGAGAAGGGATCGCCGCCGCCGCTGAAGCAGCTGGTGTCCCTGGGATTCGTGGTTCTTTGCAATGGTACGTTGTCTATCCTAGCAGCGCTTTACGTTATTCTTTCTCGTTCTGTCTCATCGATCCAAATGGTTTCGACAGCGCTGCCGATTTCCGTGCTTTACCCGTTTCTATATTTTATGGTGAGATACTCTCCGGGTTGGCTTCTTGCTACACGTTTTGTTCTTTCCAGGTGCGTGATTTCCATGTTGCGAAAGCCGAGAGCGATATTGGTTTCTACGCAGGATGGATTGGTAATGCTTTCTCTACTTTGTCGTCTACATGTTGCTCGCTTTTGGAACTGAGAGTGAGTCGACTGTTCAGGATCGTCGTTTATGGCTGGACGTTTCTTCACTGCTGTGTTCTGGGGCTACTTGGCGGATAGGATTGGCCGGAGGCCAGTGATGGTGCTTGGAATTGTGTCAGTGTAAGCAAACTTCCTCTGTCGTTTGTCAAACTTTGTCTAGTATCTTTCATTCTGAGCATCTGTTCATAATCAGGTTGGTCTTCAATACGTTGTTTGGCGTGAGCACGAGCTTCACCATGGCTCTGGTGACCCGGTTTTGCCTTGGCAGCTTCAATGGCATGCTTGGTCCGGTTAAGGTACGGGTCTTCTACTAGTGAAGTTCATCTCGTTGACACGGTTTTAATCTGTTCAGGCGTACGCATCGGAGATTTGCAGCGACGAGCATCAAGCACTAGGTGTGTCGGTCGTAAGTTACTGAATTGCTTGAAAACCTTGTCTCTCGGCAACGTACGGTGTTACACTAGTTTCTTAACTCCTGGCAAAAATGTCTCTCTCGTAGGTTGGCACAACTTGGGGGCTAGGACTTATAGTTGGACCAGCTCTGGGGGGGTTCCTGTCGCAGGTATTTATGCGGAGAATTGTATACAGCTGACAAATTTCCCCTTGCAGCCGGCTGTAAAGTATCCAAATGTTTTCCACCATGGATCCCTCTTTGCACGGTAACTGGCAGCACTTCTGATTCTTTCTTATGGTTCTTTTTCTTCTTCTTTCTGCGTGGCAGGTTTCCATACTTATTGCAAGCTCTGGTTGTCTCCGCGATAGCGTTACTCGGTCTCTGTATGTGTTTTACTCTACCTGTAAGTGCTCTTTCTTTTGGCAGTGCAGTGTTTGAGGTTTTCTTCTTTTCCTTTTGCCAGGAAACACTCCACAAGCATCCTAAAAGGGACATATCAGCTGCTGAAGACAAGCAACCGGCAAGAAAGCAGTCCATTCTCAAGAACTGGCCATTCCTTGCATCAACAACTGTGTATTGCCTTTGGTCCCTCCATGACATTGCCTACACAGAGGTATACGTTGCAACCATTTCTTCGCGTGGGGCTGACTTCTGTTTGATTGTAGATTTTCTCACTGTGGGCTGTTAGTCCAAGATTACAAGGAGGACTTAGCTTCACTAGCTCTGACGTTGGAGAAGTGCTGGCTATTTCAGGTGAATCCCTGTGTAACCGTGGCTTTGACAGGCACTGATCGGGAACTATGGTTGCAGGTTTCGCCATGCTTGTTTTCCAGCTTACAATTTTTCCTGCTGTTGCGAACATGCTTGGGCCTATTTTCATGACTCGGATATCAGCTGTAAGTAAGATGCTATAAGTTCCTTCTTCTGATTTTGTTGTCCTTTCTCTCAGATTCTGGCAATTCCTATACTTTGTATATATCCTCTCATGTCAAAGCTGGAAAACGTTTGGCTGTGGGTAGTCTTGCTCACTGCCTCCGTGCTTAAGTTCGTGCTCACCGTACGTGACCAGTCTACTACTACATGTTTCAATGCTAATGGGCTTTGTTCTTGCAGACGGCCACAATGACCGGATCGTTTCTTCTGATAAACAACTCCGTGGTATAATGAGTCGTCCATTTCTTGGTTTTCCCCCGGAAGTTCACGTTCTCTTCTCTTTCTCTCTTCTCTTTTCTTTTTTGCTTGCAGACTCAAGAACAGAGAGGTGCTGCAAATGGACTCTCACTAAGCGTTGTTTCTCTTTTCAAGGCTCTTGGCCCGGCAGGAGGAGGATCAGTGTGAGTACTCGTTTCTGATATTTGGCTACCAAGGAGGAAGGAGCTAACGCAGTTCTTTTTCTCAGGTTTGCTTGGGCTCAAAAGCGCCAGCACGCAGCCTTCCTTCCAGGTGAGAAACAAGTTTGCAAATTCGTGAGACGTGCGTGAGAGTAACTTGACAACTTTGGATGTGCAGGGGACGAGCTGGTGTTCTTCTTCCTCATTTTCTTTGCCTTTCTTACGGTCCTGGCCACGCTCAGGCCTTTCTTGCCCGCGTCCACCAACAAGCTTCAAGACGAGAAAGCAGCGGATCAGCTAGCTTGATGTCAATACAGTGACAAGATCCTGGCATGACACCCATTCCACTACATAGCGATGTAAAAAAACTCGAGCTTCGATACTACTCGGCTGCGCAATGAAAAACATTCTTCGAAGATTTACGCGTGCTACAATACCACAGTGACATGATCTGACCAGTTTGTGCGAGAAGATCGAGTTTGGTTTGGATACCAACGTGTGCCTGCTGGTCGTAAAGCTTTGACTCGTAGAGGCGTAGCACCACCTCTTTAAGTTAAAAGATGTTTGGGGCCGAGCGAGCGAGCGAGCACATTTCTATCATCCATCCGTCCACCATGGGCATGCCGGACGAAAATCAGGTTTGCGATAAAGAGGGAGCTCTCAAACAGTCTCTTTGTTTCTTGTTCTCTCATAGATTGTTTCTGTTCCAGATGGAGGAGGTGCTCGTGGATGCTCACGATAGGGTGCGAGTAATGACCCTCAATCGCCCTCGAGTGCTCAACTCTCTCAATCTCTCCGTTGTAAGAGTTTGCATTTGGATCAAGAAGCCTTTGCGGCATCCTGGTTTTTGTTCTTGAGCTTTCTCTTTCAGGTCTCCCGACTCGCGGAGCTGTTTGAGCAGTGGGAGAGAGATGAGAGTGTGGAGCTTATAATCATCAAGGTGAGCTCCACCTACCATTCTTCTCTTTTTTAATCCCTGTCTCGCAGGCCGCAGGCAAGGTTTTCTCTGCTGGTGGTGACCTGCGCATGTTCTACGATCACAGGAAAGGTTTTGTTCAAGGATTAAGCTTTGGTGATTTTGATTCCCTTGCGTGTCTTTCCCAGACGAATCGTGGAAGGAAGTCGTGTACAAAAAGTACTGGCTCGACTATCACCTGTACAGCTACAGGAAAACAAGAGTATGTTCACATCACCTTTCTCAAAGCCTAGAAGACTTGGAACTTAGAGACTTTTGTTCTTCACAGGTAGCTATTTGGCACGGACTCGTTGTGGGAGGGGGAGCAGGCTTTACGTTTCCCAGCACGTTTAGAATCGTCACTGAGAATGCTGTACGTTTTGTGATTGCTATTTGAGAGTATCTAACAGTTTCGCTGCCAGGCATTCTCCACTCCCGAAGTTGCTGTCGGTTTTCATACTGATTGTAGTGCCTCGTATTTCCTTCCACGACTTCCAGGACATCTGGGTAAAAATCACTCTTTGAGATTTCTTACTTGATCTCAAATTTAAGTTTTTCAGGAGAATACCTTGCGCTCACAGGCTCGAAACTGGACAGCGCTGATATGCTAGCTTGTGGCATCGCTACGCATTTTGTCCCTTCAAAGGTGGTTTTCCGTTTTCTGATCTCTTCTTACATTTCAATCAAACTATTGCAGGATGTTCCGGAGCTTGAGAAGACTTTGCTGAATTTACAACCGGAAAGCTCAATACAGGAGGCTATCCAGGGATTTGCTAAGACGCCTGAAGCTGGAGCGAGCAGTGTCATGAAAAGGCAAAACTTCTTAATCGTTCAAAGTTTACGTATGAACTAACAAGCTTCCAGGCTTTTCCAGGATGACTTGGATAAACAGCTGCTTCTCGAAAGACCGAGTTGAAGAGATAATCGAGTCTCTGGTGAGTCCCTGAGGCCTTTGCGTTGATTTCTTTCTTGATAAATCCCGCTTGTCAACCGTTTCACTAGGCCAG